ATATGCATCATTTAAATTAGTGAAATGAAGAAGCCTATTGAATGTCAGCAATTTCTGTCAATTACTTCTAGAGTTATGGCCCTTGTTCTACTTTGTTGAATCTTGTGAACGTTCGAACGACAAAAGTTATCATCCGATCTGTATGAAATTGATATGTATTATTTGAATTAGTAAAACGAAAAAGTCTGTCGAATTTCAATAATTTCTGTAGATTACTTCCTGAGTTACAGCCCTTATTTTAGTTTTTAGAACCTTGTGAACCCTCAAACGACGAAAATTATAATGTCATCTGTATGAAGTTGTCTATTAAATGCCCCCTAATTACCTACAAAAGAACAAATATACGACAACTCTTGTCGACCGCTCGGACGATTTAGCTGCTGTGGGCGTATGTTTAGTTGCCTGGCAACCTATCTTTATATAATGTAGGCCCTATTTAGCTCAGGAATCCATAGCCCTAAAGCTAATTCAAGTATTCAATAGAATAACTTACCTCTATGACTGGTTGTGTTTCGTAGAGCTTAAACAAGATATCAGCTGCTGCAAAATTTCTAGAGCCTATCTTACTAAGAGACACTGCAGGTTCGGTTCCAACATCTTCCTTCTGTATCTTCATCTGACATCTTAAAGTAAAAAAAGAGAGAAATGGGGATTAACACTCACACAAAACAAACCAACATTTTTGGACTGACACCCAGGAGGTTTGACTCAATGAAAGATCTTATGAGCTTGGACCACTCAACCACCCCTAAAAACAAAAGAAGAGTAACAAGCAAACTGAACATTTCAAAATTTTGATCAATGGGACAAGACTAGATCTTAAAGCTACAATTTCATATTTGTTAAGTTATATTTTTAAAATTTATTAAAATAAAGCCTTAAAATAGATGGTATCCATACACAGTCCTACCTTGTTAAAGAATAATCCTATTAATCCTATAATTCACTATTGCCAGCTGCGAAATTGGCAAAATTATCATTTTCGAATTCCAACATTTGAAGATAGCTAATGCATGGAGGCAATAGGAAAACAAGGGAGGTAATTGTGTTATTATTTCCTGTGTCAATGATTTTTAAGGGTGGGAAATAATGCCCATAGTCGTATAATAGTGAGTTGATAACCTATTGAGCAAAAGACATAGAAATAATTATGTTTTGACTTTCATAGAAAATATGAAATTCTGGCTTGAAGGCTAAGGCCAGGAAACACAGCCTAAGTCTTACAGTTAAGGCCGGAAGACGCAAGACTACAGTAGGTCTTAAGAGATTCAAGACTAGGTCTTAAGAGACACAAGACTAGGCCTTACAGTTGAGGCCAGAAGATACAAGACTAAGCCTTACAGTTGAGACCGGAAGACACAAGACTAGGCCTTAAGATTATGGCCGGGAGACCAGACTAGGCCTTAAGGCAACTTACCTGAATACACGATCATCATTGTCAAAAAACTCCCATTCCAACAACATATTGTTGACAAAACATGAATGTTGTAAAATATAGAAACCTTGAACTTTACGATCTACTATCCAACTGACGTCCTCAAAGACAACGATATCCTTGGCTGGTAGTGTTGATATAGGTTTTCGGGTCCATTGTAAGCGATGAAGATTCGAACAGTTATCTTCCAAAATGCAGTTGCCCTTGACACGAAAGTCGATAACATCTGTTGCTGCTTGGTCGTGTGGTTGAAGTTTACTGTGTTGGGGGAGGATGAACTCGGGGTCACAGTTCGTGAAACCTATCGGGCTTTAGAGTAAGCGTCTGCTTGGGCATCTGTTCGGTTCTCTGCTTCACCAATCATGATGAGATGACCAGCTAGATAGAGGTTACAGAAAATTTTCTCCTTTTCTATTTCTGTGTTCATGCTACGACGGTATAGACAAATGGGCGTCAATTTTACATCGTTGAAAATTCCATCCAAGACAGTAATGATGGATGCAGGATGCGTGGCACTGCTAAGTTCGTTCATTTTGACAAACTGTTCACGGAGATCAAATGCCCTAGGATTTGGTGCTGCCTTTACCAAAGTGCTCTGAACCTGTGCTTCTGCTTCTGTTATGACAGACTGTTCGACACCATCTAAGATGTTGCCATGTTCAACATTCATGGTGGTCAGTCGTTCAACCACCATATTATAACACAATGACTTAGCAGTTTTTTTGGAAACTGATACACCTGCACCTTGTAGTATGTTGTCAATAAAGTACATTCCCTTATGATAAACTTTCCCTGATTCAGCTTTACAACTCTCTACATCATATCGACAACGGACTCGACATTTAGCCACAGAGGCCGCCAACTCCATTTTGCTGACTGAATTGGTTGAAGCATATTTAGGATTGGTTAGAATATCTTGGATCTGTTTCAAAATAGATGGTGGGGGTAACTCTGCAATTGTTTCTTTCTCCATCTTAGCAACGGTCGAGTTAAAATTCTCCAGTTTCTCCTTGATAACTTTTGGGGTCATATCATCCTGGTTCAAAATTTCAGTGACAGGAAGGGTACGATAAAGTTCCACCGCCTTCTTGAAACATGACAGTTTGATTTCTTTCTTGTTGATGCCGATAGCTCTGGCTAGGAACACACCACCCAGATTAAGTCGGCCAGTGAAAAAGGATCCGTTCTTTCCTTGTACCATGCCATCGATCAAAAAATCTGGTCAAATTCCAACTTTACAACTCATCAGAGAATTCTCAAACAACTAAAATGAAATAAAATAGGATTTAATGGGAAAGAGAGGAAAATGGGCTTTATTGTTCACTCGACACTAGGTCATTTCGGGACTAACATATAGTTCATTTTATTTCATTAGGGGTCTTTAGCAGTGGAAGGAAACCCTGAGGACATGGAGAAAACGCACGAGGTTGAACAGACGACCCTACTCCTTGTCACGTACAAGCGGGTAATGACGCATTAACGCTTCGACCACCCAAACTCGCCCAACTGGTCTTATGTAGATGGGCAAATAAAAGAATTTTATACGTAATACATGCTTGAATAAAAATAAAAATAAAGCAGAATCTGTGTTTTTAATGAGATTATTGTGAAAAATATTAAACATGCATTATGCAAGAGCTAAACCTGTCAATTTCAGGTCTTTCTTAAGGCCTGAAATCTTATCTAAATTATTAATTAGACATTAATTAACTTATCCAGACCATAATAAACTCCCGATGTCAAGGCTAGCCTTCGATGTCGACTGGATTACAATTCTATATGCTGCTATCGCTCATTGATAATTAAATCACAACAATAGACAATCGAGACTATTAGTTTCGAGGCTAGGCGAAACTTTCATCCGCTTAGTTTTCGGTTCATAGTGGACCAATTTGACTGACATTTTCAGCAAATTCCCTTTACATTATGTAGTTTTTAACTATTATAGTGAGAACTGCTAACTCGTTATCTTATCTCCATCTCCCATAATGTATCTTTAATAAATAAAACCTCACCATAATTTCATTGATTACTTTTTTTTCACTTCGTAAAAACATTGAAAGTCGTCGAATTTTTTCTGCTAGCGGCAATTTTGTGGCATCGATTGGTTCTGGGTTGGGTGTTTTGTGTACAGCGGCAGCAGGCAGACCTTTGTTATCAATGGGGCGTGTCTGGCAGCCTGGTAATGTTTCCCATTTCTTCTCTGTAAATAAACCATTAAAAAATGTAGTTTGTTAAAGCTGCATTTAGTAACTGTATTGAATAAACCATGACTAATATACCGGTGTATTAAATACAAGTTTTTTCACAGTTCATTTCTGACGACGTCTTGAAAAGTGTTCTCTTGTATTTATCAAGCCACAAACAAAATAAACTTCTAAATAACTTGTATTCTGAATATTGTTTAGTGCCCAGGTTCACTTTGCTCATTTCTGTTGATCAGCGGCTGGGGAGGGGGGGGGGAATAGGTTTTACATTTAGATTCAGAACGAACATGATTCTTCTACAGCCATCCTTTTTACAGTGGTTACAACTTAAACATACAGGTTTCAAGTTTAACTGACTACCATGACTAGAGAATAGAATAACGTGATTTATCAACGAATTAACAGAATTTTAAAACAAAATTAAAAGCTTTTGAGCAGTAGTACAGGTAAAAATTATGTGTGTCAAAAAGATAAGCACCACCGTTTAAAATGAGGTCTGTTTGATATTTAACCATCAACAATAAATTCAGATGGTTTTTATTTGGAACCATGTAATATCCATCACAAAATACTTCCAGCATAAGTCTTGCCACTCCAAGAAGAATAGTATCAGGTTCCTTTGGTACCATGGTACTAATCAAACAAGAGGTGTTGAGGACGTGATCCAAGTGAGAGAGGGGGGGGGGGGTTGGATGGCTGAATGGTTAGCTGTATCATAAAGTCTGTCATTGAGTCAACTGGCGTGGTTTCGAATCCCCGGTTGTACGTGACAAGGAGTAGGGTCGCCTGTCCAACCTCGTGGGTTTCCTCCGGGTCCTCCGGTTTCCTCCCACAGCTAAAGATCCCTACGCGCAAGCGAATTATGGAAATAAAATTGAACCATATGTTAGTCGAGTGGACGTTAAACCCCATTTCTCTCTCTCTCTCCAAGTGAGAGAGGGATACACATGACGATGGTTATCACTACTCTTGTCTGTAATCCTCATCCTTTTCCTGACCAGATCATCTAATGGACTCCTATATTTTTCGAAATCCTCAATTAAAAAATATCTATTACTTAAATGACCAAATATTCCTGTCTTGTTTTACTTTAAGGTGGTCCTTAACCTTTTGTCAGTTGTATTTATTTTTATGACTTACTTGCACCACCGGCACTGTTTGCGGGAGTTCCAACACCTCCTATAGAATTCAACTCATTGTTAAAAATATAATTTGCGGGTCACGGAAAGATAACTCTGTTTGGAAACATGGTTTGGTGTAGAGGAGTAACCGAAGTTGGCCGAGTGAAATCTGCAGCCGGTTGCCGAGTGAAAAATAGAAAGTAACTCATTGAAGATCCAGTATTGTGCAACCACGCCAGCCGAAAAGGAAAAAGTTGTCAGTCCAAATTATACTGAATTCAAATTATATCGAATTATACTATAGCTCCGTTTCAGGTAAATATTCCAATCTTAGGGGTTACAATGTAAAATAGATAGGGTGGTAGACAAGGAATGTTGTTGATCATGCATATTACAAATGACAAAGTTACAAAGTCAACACTCCATTTGGCATGCAACCAGTGACCGCTAGGCCAAATTATAATGTATGGCTCTATTCTTTGGAACCCTAAAGTGGCCGAAAATGGATCTAAAACACATAAGCCTAATGAAATATGAATGTGTAGATCTACAATGTACTATATTCAATTTTGAAAAGAAATATGTGATTTCTAATCAATTATGTTCTGTAAAATTTACTAAAATACCGTACGTGAACAGTCAAACTTGAGCGACATTAGCCTCATTAGGCCTATAACGCCTGTTTGTGCTTAGTAACTAGTCCTTTCAAATTGTACACTCATTTTTTTTATTATTATTTTGCCTTTCGTGAATCAGCCATTATTAATTACTTACTTTTTATGTGATACTTTGTTAATTGATTCAAAATGGCACTTGAAACTATAGTTCAGCTCTGAACGTAGGTCTCTTTACACTCGCTGTGTAGGTTCATGAACCGGCCTATTGACTCCTTGTCTAAAAAATTTCAATTCCCAGTAAATCTTACTAATTATGGGCAACTTTTTACTGCTAAACGGTCGCATGTCAGTCCCTTTGAACGGCTGTACAATGTAAAGGAACATTTAAGTGAGAAAACAAGACCTTGCTTACCTCGCTATAAAAATGCATCCGTTTCTGGTAAACAGCTTGGCAGAAGCCATTGAAATCTACATATAGGGTAACGCACACATTTATATAACTCGGCCATATAAGACGAAACAAAATTTAGGTAAGCAGGTGAATCAAAATTGGAAAGCACAGCGATGTGATGTAAGAGTACTACGGTACTACTCAGTTTAGTTTAATAGTTAATCAGTGTTTTGTTAATTGATTTTCTTTGAAATGCTTCATGATGAAATAATAAAACAAACACAACTACCAATCTGTAAACAACAAAGCACTAAAACATTTAAATACAAACAGTGAAACACAACCATAAAATTTGATTAAAACAGCAATATCAATTTGATGAAAACAAAGCAACAATATCAATTTGATGAAAACAACAATATCATTATCAATTTGATTTTAAAACAACAATATCAATATCAATTTGATTAAAATAACACGTTTTTATAACAAAATCAGATTAGTCTGAGTGGTTTTCAAAGAAAGGATGAGTTGTCTTATATCTCGACCCATGATTTAAAGTTGGGATGAGTTGTCTTCTAACTTGGGAGAGTTGTCTTCTAATGTCTTATGGAGGCAGACCACCATTAAATTTCATCATCTCGGTACCCACGAATTGTAGTTCGTCTATTTATAGCAATTCTCTCTCTCTCTCTTTTCTCCCCTTTTGCATGCCCAATTGTGTTGATTTTTTGGTCTAGAATGGACGAAGAGGGTTTGAATTAACATTTTCTGCCAGGTTTTGGTATATATTCATGATTTTGAGGCGGAAGGATAAGAGGGTTATCAGGTTAGCTACGGCGATATGTACGGCAACTAGTTACATGTTTTTAGTATGCTTCTTCAAGTTTGTGTATCTCAAAATTTTGGTGGTCAACCTCATACAAATTTTAGTGCAAAGACATGACCATTTGTTCCTCTGTCTGTAGTGAAAAGCATTCAGCCCAACGAAAATTTGGGGAAAAGTTGGAGGTGGGCAAAGAGGCCAGAATTAACATTGAAGTCAATGGGGAAATTAATGGTGGTCTGCCTCCTTACATTGGGATGAGTTGTCTTCAGGGCTGTCGGTAATTTTTCACAGATGATTAGCAGCACTGCTAATCAAAAAGTCCAATTTTGCCAAATTTGATTAGCAAATTTAAAAATTGATTAGCAGTTTTTTAGTTTCAACATAAAACACCTAAATATCAAGATTATTTTAACTTTAATTAATAACAAATGATTAGATTTTATTCTTAAGATTTTTTTAGAATTTTAGCACTTCTTCAGGTAGCTGTGAACATTTCCGAATGAATGTAGACTTTTGGTTAGGCCTTATGTCTGGGCAGTGACTTCTTATTTCTTCGTTAGAAAACAATTATTATTATTTTTGTTCAATCATAAGCACGCGGTATTTTATGAATAATCTCGATTAACTAGACGCACGCGATATAAACAATAATAATTTACGGGAATTCTTACTTTGACTTCTCATTTTACAATACGTTTACACATATTTATTTTTTATATTTTATTTACAATACGTGGGGGATACACTGAATTTAATTTTTTTCAAATTGAATACTGATATAATTACAATGTACTCGAAATTGACATGTCTCGCAACGTGAGTGGTACTACTTGATTCCCTATTTCCGGTTTAATAGTCCCGATTCATAGAGTTATGTCCCAGTATTATATAGCATTGTTATATAGTATAATGAATTGAGTCTGGGTAGATCGAGAAGAAAATGTCACACGGAGAATTCCATTTTGTTTATAAAATTTATTTGATATTTTATATACGTTGAAAGCGTTGAGAAATGTGGATAAATCTTTGTGTCAATATCCAAAATGACAGGCATGTTAATGATTCGCAGTTACTGCGAATCAAAAACGTTAGATTTTAATTTTTGATTAGCAACGGACAAAATATGTATCGCAAATTGCGCTGCGATACTGGTTGTCGGCAGCCCTGGTTGTCTTGGGATGAGTCGTCTTTGGTATGAGTTGTCTGTATACCCATTCTTTAAACTGTTTGCAAGGTTTCAGCAGCAATACATGAGAATATAATTGACTGAAACTAGGGATAATAAAAACTTTAAGCATTGTATATTTTTTAGGAAGTGTAATCAAGTAGGAGAAAATATGCAGAGAGACAGATTTATGCATGGAGGTCTTGGGAGGGATGAATATGAATATGATCAACTGAGGAATCAAAGATCTGGGCTATTGCCTAGAGAGAGAGAATATGAAATGGATAATCAAGGTGCATACTCAACTGGCCTATTAGGAGAGGGACCTGGTGCTATGAGGCCCCGAGTTGGTGGTGGCGGCGGCGGGGGGGTTAGTGGGGGTCTTCTCTCTGATCCTCTGTTAGGTGGTGTTGTAGCTGCTGGAAATGATTCTTTGACAGCTGGTCTTCAAGAACAACTTTTGCAACATAAACGACTTGAGCAACAGTTAAACTTGAGAGAGTCACAGTTGGCTTTAGCTAGCAACCTACTACAACAACAGAATAAAATGTTGGGAGATATTCAGACGGGAACAGGTTTAATGGGTCCAGCTCCTGGTAATATTCCATCACTGTTGGATAATTTGCCTCGGAAGAGAGTTAATGAAGGTGCACGAATGGACCACAAAAGATCAAGATTTGATGAAGGACCTGCTGTAAGTAAAACATTCTTTTTTTATTATCTAAAAGGATAAAATTCTTTAATTGAAAATTAATTGACCAATGGTTCATTTGATAAATTATAAAACTATTTAAAAGTAGAAGTTTCACAAAATTTGTTCATGCTTTTCTACATACATTTAATTGTTTAAGATTTCTCTTAAAAAGATTTTATTTCAGATTATCAGTCAGCAGTCAATTAGATCTTTTCATCATAAATGTTTGCAAATGTGTAGCAAACTTCTTCAAGCTTATTTCTATGAAGATTATTGTTCTAATTCAGTAACGAATTGAATGTTATTTCACCTGGATTTATGTATTATCTAAAGCAGTACCGATAGAGAGCTTTTTTTTAAAATGAGAACTATTGAATTAACATGTGTAGCCTAATGTAAAGGTTTTTTTAAAAAGAATAATTTTCTGCTGTTTTATTACTTGCTGCCAAGCAAAGTATTTTTAAATCCAGACGTTCAATTTATATCTGTAGTTGTACATATGTATTATAAGCCCCTAAAAATATGTATTGAAAATTAACTTCAATAAACACAAAGGCTTTAATTCTTTATGGTCACATGATGAGATCACTGCTAGCAATCTGTGATAAATCTATAACAACGATATAATAGACCGTTTGTATATGGGCACCATTATTTCACCCCATTTGTGCACATACATGTACCATTTAGATTATTGGCGATATTCTGCAATGTTATTTTATTCTTTAGTGCTCTGGATAGATGCAGCAATGATTTCCTAAATTAAACAGAACGCAGACTCTGTCCAATGAATAAGTAGTGAAAGTCCAGTGTGGGTCCTCACCCAGAAAATTTTGAAAATTCAATGTCATTTGGTGGATTCTGACATACATGTATATCTGAATAAAATCATGTTTGCTATCTTGAAAAAGGTCCTCTTCTTAGTGGTAGGCTTTCCGTCCATTGCAGTGCAGTGCGAGATCAAAATTGACCAATTTTTTGTCATTTTGAAAGCGCAAGTAACTAGCAGATGATACACGTAGAATACAAGCCCAAAAATCTCGAAGCAAAAGCAGATCGCCGACCGCACAAGGTTGATTAAGTCTGTTCTGGCCCTGCCACGATAAAAAAGACCTGAAGCATTATTACCATTACAAAATACCGAGCCTACCCAAGCCTACCCCATTGTTGGAGAATACATACATTGTAGGCCGCGCCTACCCTCTAAATCACCCCTGGATGACACTACACTGGTCAGTATATGTATAGTTGGTTGGACATAACAACCAACCTTAATTCTGTGCCTGAAATGGTTTTTCTTTCTTTGACTTAAAAATCAGTCAGTAAATTAGTTTCTATACAATGTACCTCTATAAATTTTAACTTTATTGTAATTCCAAAAATATAAAAATGATTACATCGTACATGTAGTTCAATCATTTTCTGGAAAGGATTAAATGATATTATATACATGTACATGTAATGGCAAGAGTCATCTTCAACCTACCAACTGAGATAATAAATGCATAATTCATTAATATAATGTAAATGGATTTAAATGACATTTGATTCAGGAACCAAGTCTGAAGGACATTCAATTCAGGGACCAAGATGGGATCTAAAAGGATTCTCAATTCAGGAACCAAGTCTGAAGGACATTCAATTCAGGGACCAAGATGGGATCTAAAAGGATTCTCAATTCAGGAATCAAGCTGAGGTCTAAAGGACACTCAATTCAGGGACCAAGATCAGGTCTAAAGGACACTCAATTCAGGGACCTAGATCAGGTCTAAAGGACACTCAATTCTGGGACCAAGAGGGTTCTACGTTTGACCAAAGCAAAAAAAAAAAAAAAAGAAGCCAGAATGAGGACCATTTAATTGACAGCAGGCACAACTTTCTGTGACAGTTCCCTCTTTTCTGTAACAGAATATTTTCCAAGTTTTGAGGTTTTCGTTGACAACCTAAAAGATAATCAACATCATACAAGTATTGGATCTTGGGACTTGGGATACTTATTGATGAACTGTTTGAATGTACATTTTTGTGAATTTGTTAACAATCTCGGAGGAACTTATGAACCATCAGAAAACCCACGATTCTGTGTGAAGAAAATATGTTCGCTTTGACAATCAGCTTCTAGCCCTTTCTTTAAAATAAAATTACTCTTAGATTAAGATTTCATTTCAGCAAAACTAAAAGGATGCTTCAGTGATATTTTTAGGACAATGCTTGCAGCAGAACCAGTTATTCCCAATTCATTTAAGAATATTTAATATCTTGGTCTGTTTTCCACATTTTCAGCGAAGTCAATTTGGAGATCGAAGAGATGATCGAAGAGCTCATTCAGGTAACAAAATGGATTCCCATAAATGTCTTGATATATGACTTCAAGCAACTTAAATGGTTTACAAATTCAATGTTGACCATTTTCTTTAGAGGTCAATATGCATTTACATAATAGATGAACATTTATCATCATGTTTTACCTAGAGAGCCCCAAAAGTAGAGAAACACTTCTGAAATTTCCCCCATTGCCATTAAAACTTGAGCCAGTGTCTCAATAGTTGAAAAAGAATGTTCAGAGCTATTTCATATCGGTTGGAGACCTTAGCATCTCAACATCTAAACACAAACAATAACTTTGCTACCTTTTTCATTCGTCCAACTTTTCAAATACCTCTCTTCTTGCGACTTTCTATTATGATTAAACTTTCTATGATTAAACTTTCTATTATTAATCGATGTGACCAAGTATGGAACTATTTGCCCACATAAGACCTGCGACTTTCTATTATTAATCGATATGACCAAGTAAGGAACTATTTGCACACGTAAGACCTGTGGCTTTCTGTTATTAATTGACGTGACCAAGTAAGGAACTATTTGTCCACGTGATACCTGCGACTTTCTATTATTAATCGATGTGACCAAGCAAGGAACTATTTGCCCATGCAAGACTGAAAACATACATGATACATGTAGATTGTAGGGTAGCTGTAAGATTTATATCGGTTCAGTGCCCAAGTCTTTCAGATTGGCTTTTGTCAGTGGTTTGAATAGTTCGATTTTTGTCTTTAATTACTATAGCTAGTAACATGTATATATGACCAGCAAATGTTTGCATGCTTTATTGGTTCATGATAATTCCTAAAGCCCCCTCCCCTTCAATGCGCCTAGCCTAATGAATATGCCTGTGTCGTAGGCCAAGAATCATTTTGAAAATGTTGGTTTCTTTCGCCGTTTTTTTTAAGTCACCCATTTTCATCAAATTCAGGTCTTAAGGTTTCATATGTTTTTCATGTTTACTTTTATCTATGCCATATAGAATCGGGTTAGCCTCGCTCAAGATAAACCTATAATAATCTGAATCATGTGGCCATTAGGATTATACATCCAAGATGAATATCGGTATTAAGATTAACGCATCATTTTACCAATAATACCCTGTTAAAAAGTTACATGCAAGTCCTGTGTTGCATCCCCCCCCCTCCCCCCAAATATTTATGGTTGACTTCATCATAGAGTGATAATTTATTTGGACTGGAGCTTTCCATGCAAGTTGTGATGTAACATACCTCTAGCTGACTATGGCCCAAACATCTACAAATCTCATTAATATATAGTAACTATTTGATGATTCTACCAAATTGTGCCTAAAATTTTGTCAGGATACATCTACATGTACATCTGGTTTGTAAAAAGTTTCTTTACCTCTTTTTGCATTAGAATGTTCAAAATTGTTGATATTAAAACATCTGTAAATGGTTGGAAATAAATGTCTGTCATGTCTAATTTGATAAACGTCTAACAAAGTTTTATGCTTGAATTTAGAGGATTCTTACAGATTGTTTCAGGAAATCTGGATTGTTATGCGTTCCAATAGATGGTTCCAGTGCTAAGACATGCTACATGTATATCGGTAGATTGCTCTTGGTATACGTTCATGTAATATTACAGAAAACATATTTCTGTTTGCTTTAGCATATCAACATTTCTATTTCTTGAAAATTATGTTAACGAAAAGTTAACTTTCTTCTTGTCAATAGTAATACAGTTTTTAAGAAAACAAAAGGGTTCTCACGGGGAGAATTCTTATTTTCACCCAAATATGTAAGTATTTCAATTTTTTTTTGGACTTAAAATAGAAAGTTACTAATATATAAATTGATGTTATATTTAGATGACCGTGCTGTACGTAGAAGAGAAGATGTATATGATCCAGAATATCCCACAGGAGAAAGGGTAGGTACACTCGCAGATTATAATTCTCTTATATAGTGAGAGGGGTAGTCTCTGGATTAGGATTAGACGAAGAATGGCTACAAATACATTTATGATAGATTTATTATATATTTATGAACAGTAAAATTAGAGTTGCATAATTATAAAATGTATGATTTATTTTTACAGAACTCAAAAGTTCCAGTAGAGACTTGTTTTCAATTAGTCCTGCTATTATATTTTATTATTGAGGATTCTCGTGTGACAATAATTTCCATGTGTTTACATTATCTTTAATAAGTTATCCAATCTTTCAGATCACTGTTCAAAGAAATTCTTATGCTTTCACATATCAGTTATATTCTGTCAAGATCACGATCACAACTATAATAACTATAACTCTATCTCAAAGTTCAAATAAAACTAATCCTCTATTTTTGATTCAGGCTGCAATTTGAATAACGTGCCTATCTATATAAACAAATATTATGGTCTTTTCTACTTCAGACAAAACCGATTGTCATCTTAATTATGCTTTGATATTGTTCTCTATATTCATGTTATTGAAGATGTTTTCTTTTCTTTTTTTCCCACAATTGTTTTCTTCTCTTTCCCATTTTGTCTTTTTCTGTCACTTAAACTTCCAATTATCATTTTTGGACCATATCTCTTTAGTCGAACCTAGAGTTGGATATTCCATTATTCTGAATTAGACTTTTGTCTTGGGGTTGTTCAAAAGTGGTTGGGGATTTCCAAGAGAAAGGGTGTCTTACGGGTGACATATCTGCTTAACGAAACCCAATTAGTACTTCTATATTCTAAGCATACCTTGAGCTCTTAGATCTTTCCCCAAATTTTTAATATTCAGTAGCCATGTTCCATGTATTTCTCAAGTTTCTACTCAATTCTTCACCTTTTTCTCACCCATTTCTTTCTTTTATTCGTCACGTTAATCTTAAACCATTTTGATTTTGCACAAATTCTCCACAATTGAATATTTGTTATCGATTTAATAAAATATTTGGGGGGGGTTTTAACGCTTTTTATGAAACTCATTTCATTGAATTACAGCCAAAAGAATTTGATAAAAATCTGTTTTCATTGGTAATTTATTAAAATGCATATTTATGAAGCTAATGAAATAGCAGTTAAATTAATGTGGGGTGTATTTAGTCTGTTTTAATTTTTGTTTTCTTCAGTTTTGTTTTTAGGATGAATCAGACATATTTGGTCACTTGTTCTCTTTTATTATCTCTCTGTACTTTTTTATTTCTAATTGTTCTTCTTTCATATTTTGTTGTTTCCTATATATGTATCAATCTGATTGAAATACAGATCTATTTTTCGTTTCGTTTTTATACGGCCACATGGAAATACAGATGTATATTGCCGTCGCCTCCGTTCGTTCGTTGTCCACAATTTCTTGTGAACGTTCAAAAGTCAAAAGTTATCATCCAATTGTTTTAAAATTGATATAATGTTGTTTACATTAGTGAGATGAAGAATCCTATTTAATTTCACTTTGTTGCACCTTGTGAATGCAGTAAATCAAAAGTTATCTGCTGATCTGTATGACATTTACATGTATATAAATCATTTAGATAAGTAAAAAGAAAAATCCTATTTAATTTCTCGATTCCCCAGTTGTATGTGACAAGGAGTAGGGTCGCCTGTCCAACTCCGTGGGTTTTCTCCGGGTCCTCTGGTTTCCTCCCACTGCTAAAGAACCCTACGCGCAAGCGAATTATTGAAATAAAATTAAATCATTTTAGTCCCGAAATGACCTAGTTTGTGTCGAGTGGATGTTAAACCCCATTTCTCTCTCTCTCTCTCTATTTAATTTCAGCAATTTCCGTTAATTACATCTAGAGTTATGGCCCTTGTTTCACTTGATTGAACCTTGTAAATGTTCTAAAGTCTTAAAGCCATAAGTTATCATCCATGAGCATTCCAATGACAAAAGTTAGCATCTGATCAGTATGAAATTTATATGCATTATTTAAATTAGTAAAACAAAAAAGCTGGTCCAATTTCAAAATTTTCTGTAAATTACTTCCAGAGTTAAGGCCCTTGTTTCAGTTTGTAAATCTTGTAAACCTTCAAACAACAAAAATTATAATCCAATCTTGTCGACTGCTCGGACGATTTAGCTGCTGTAGACGTATGTTTCGTTGTCTGGCAACCTATCTTTTTATACTTTCGATGACCTATACTACATGAGGATCTGACCGGTTTTAGTGTAAGGTTGTGTCAAAGGTCATACAATCGACTTTTGACCTTATGATATCAGATTGTTTCATTGGCTAATCCCTCGCATCATCCAGAATGCAGCTTATGTAAGAACTTTTCCAGATCCTTGTGTAGTAAAGATAAGTAAAACAAAACGAAATAGGATCTGTGTTTTAATCAGATTTTATATATATTTGAATTTACAACATTTCGCTTAAATTATCATATAAGTCTATCTTAAATATATATTGTTCCAGCCGGAGGGGCGAGATCAAACCCGCACTAGATATTTCTGCCATGCCTGTGACGAAGAATGTTTTACTGAAATGGTAAATTCCTCTTTCTTTTCTGGATTCACTTTAATTGTTTGAAAGAAACCGGAAGAGTTTTTTTTTTATTCTACCAGGCAAGCCTAAGTCTCTAGGCTCGACATATTCTTTAATCTAGGAGCTTTTTTTTTCTAACAGTTAACTTGTTGCTCCAGTGTCCTTGTTTCAGTATTATTTATATAGATCCTACCCTCCCTCAGTTTTGTGTTACAGGTCTGTTTATACGTTTACGTGTAGGCAGTTTTGTATAAAGAAAGTTATATGAACCTTGGCAGTGGTATGTTTAAGCTCTGACTAACCATCTCTCAGTTATTAAAGGGTTGTTCAATTTATTGTTTAGAAAGCATTTTCCCTGGCGTTCATATATTCACCCAATATTTAGATAAGAGCATGCCTGTATGATTATATATATATAAATATATGCCCCGATCGACCTAAATATATATTTATAACCCATAGCAGATTTTATAGTTCTAAATGATACATGTAATTTGCATTTCATATCCCAAGTAAGCTTTGTTATTTAGACTCCTATTTTTGACCAGGAACGGAGCAATGCTCTTCGAATGCGATCAATATGTAACTTGGCATGCTTGTTCCTTGGACAATTGCTCATCGAGTGCGTGATTTGAACTTTTGATAGGACGTCACAATTCCAAGATGGCCGTACGATATCTGGCTTGGTTCCTGGTCCATATTAGTATCCTCTTGTACTTGTTTGTCAAATGTTAGGTTTTGTCATTGTGTAGTCTTGTTCATCCACATTGGTTTGTGTTTAATACACAATTTTAATAGGACTGATATGAACAAGACTATCATATGGTTGGCTTTATTATCCAGTTATAGTTGCTGTTAGACAGAATGTAATCAAAGCACTATGATTTACATGAATGGCTTTGTATGAAAACTATAGAATATTGGAGAAATTAGCATAGTAATCAAAGGCAAAGGTGGCAGAACTGTAAAAAAAAAATAAAGAAATGATACCTCGATTACAACATGAATTTTATTGTCTCCATTTTAGATTATATTCTTAATTTTAGTACATGTTTCAAGATATCAATAAGAAAATATAGACAATTTCCCCACTATATTTCCCTGTTAATAATTTGGAAACCGGTAGAAAACTTGGTTTCTCTCACCACTGCCTTTGAAACATGATATATGCATAGTTAAGTTACAAATATTAGTATTTAATGTGTTTTGAAGATATATTGTCCATTATTCTGGATCTCAAAATAAATAATTTTATATACAGGCATTATAATACATGTTAAAGTCAGATTACCATTCCCAAATATAAATAGAGAATCTCCTACTCGTCTCTTTTGATATCAAAGAATATCGACACAAGTCGATAAAGTAAAAAAATAAGGAGGCGTTGTCCAGTTTTTTTTAGGTTTTTTTTCTACTTTGACGTGTGTTAATATCTTCTTGCGTCAAAATAGACAAGTAGGAGATGGGTGATAAAGTATGTTAATATCAACCTGTTAGAGTAGGACTCTACTTTCACTTTATATAACTGTATCCACAGGGTTTTAGTAAGCATCTGCATTCTCGTCGTCATGAAGATAGAGTTAGAGGAGTTGGAGAAGTTGCTAAGAACAGCCTCGATAGAAATAAAGCTCAACAACATCTTCGTAATATTGAAGGGTATTTATTTATTCCAAATCACTTTGATTCTTTATTTACAGATGGGGGTGGGGGGGGTAGCCGAATGGTTAGCACGTGCCTGCTGTATCATAAAGCCTGTCATTGAGTCAACTGGCGGGGTTTTGATTCCCCGGGTGTACGTGACAAGGAGTAGGGTCGCCAGTCCAACCTCGTGGGTTTTCTCCGGTTCCTCCGGTTTCTTTCCACTGCTAAAGATCCCTATGCGCAAGTGAATTATGTAAATAAAATTAAACCATATGTTAGTCCCGAAATGACCTAGTTTGTGTCGAGTGGACGTTAAACCCCATTTCTCTCTCTCTCCAAATCACTTTGATCCTTTATTTACAGATGAGAGTGGGGGGGTTGAATGGCCGAATTGTTAGCACGTGCGCGCTGTATCATAAGGCCTGTCGTTGAGTCAACTGGCGTGGTTTCGTGACAAGGAGTAGGTTCGCCTGTCCGACCTCATGGGTTTTCCCTGTGTCCTCTGGTTTCCTCCCATTGATAAAGACCCCTACATCCAAACAAATTATTGAAATATGTTAATCCCACTATGTGTACAAAGTAGAATTTTGGGATATAGAGATTCTTATTGAGTGATCTATGGTTAATGTTTATGCCTTCCACTCAGATAATAGTTTGAGGAATCAGTTTTGTGTGAAGAAAAAAAAAGAAGGGGGGCATTATGGCTACAAGACAAAATTTCTGTGTTTTTTTATATAAATACATAATTTTTCTGTTTTTAGACAAGATTTTTGTCGTATCTGTGACGAAACTTTAAGGATACCTTTTGAACACCACAAGAGAACTACTATTCATAAGGTATGTTCATCATTTAATTTACTCATTTGTCCAAATCAAGACTCATTTTTGACCACCTGGCATTTGATATGACTGCCAGAAAAATTTATCTGTTGATCAATTAAGTAAATTGAAAATAAGATATAATTTACTTGTGTACAAATATTTGTGCCTTTGAAAAGGAAAAAATTTAAATGTCATAAATAATCCTTCACATTCAACTTTTCGTAGATATAGGGGTTTCAGCTTTACATTGAAGAGCATCAAAGATTGAAGATTTAGATAAGACATTAATGTTAGATATTTTTATTTGTAGAAACGATTTCAACAAACTAATATGGGTTGTGGTTGGTGTAACGTTCGAGGTTTTAACAACTTCAGAGAAGTACTGAAACATAGAGACACCAAAAAACATATTGAGGTAGGAAATTAAGTCAAGTCTTTGAAATTGTTCTTGTGAAAATTTGCATCATGAGGTTATGTGGGCTAGAAAGTTATTGTTACATTTTCTACTCTTATTGAATAGGGAGCCATGGTGGCTAAGTGGGTAACACGCTGGCTCACTAGCCTGGAGGTTGTGTGTTTGATCCCTGCATTGGTCGAGAAAGTTCATCGTGATTTTCCAACATGGTTTTCCCTTGTCCGTGGTGCAGGACAGAGGGCCTGACAACTACAGCTGTCTAGTCGTCCAGATGGGACGAAAAACCAAGGCCCCATGTATTCATTGGTGTGCATGTAAAAGATCACTTGGCAGTTGGAATTCGATATAAGAAAAGGCCATAGTGCCACTGCCCGGGCAAAATTTCCCTCCTAGCACACTGTAAGGTGTATGCCCGTCTTCATTAGCCCAGTCGCAGCAGAACAGTATGATGTTAAACCCCATTTCATTTCGTATCGAGTAGCCACCTTTATCCAGCCCCTTAATGAAAAATGGAAGGTGTGCGCTCTTAAAATTAACAGTGTTACATGATCCCTAGATATTGTTTAGACGAATATTTCTTGTGAAAATGTGTATAAGGATGTAATTGTAGCTTTTTGTTGTGTACCACCTAGTAATAGAAATTTAAGTGCTGCATTTTTCACTCTCCTTCAAGTAGTCACTTTTATCCAGTGACTTAGAAGGAATGAAAAATTGAAGGTGCAGACTCCTAAAAGAGTTACTTTACCTATTGAAACTTTTTAAGCAATGATTTCCAAATAACTAAATGTTTTATGCAAAATCTTAAAGACAAGGTAAATGGGTTATTTGAAATTTAATCCATTTCTTAGTAAATACTGAAACTGTTTCTAGTGGGTTACCCACATTTCCATGCACCTCACGCCAAAAACTCACCCTAACAGACCGTTTCATTGGCTAATCCCTCACATCATCCAGAACGGGGGTTATATAACAACTCTTCCAGTTCCTAGTGTAGTAAAGACAAGTAAAACAAAATTTTGAACTATAAAAAACAAAACAAAACAGGATCTGTGTTTTAATCAGATTGTTGAAAATTTGATTGTGTATTTTAGAATGAAAAGAAAATGAAAGGGAAAGATAGTACAACTAGTAGTAGCAGTAGCCGTCGAGATAGCCGTAAAAACGATAAAGATGATGATGATGTTGTTATTATTGGTGAAAAGAAAGCAGACAAAAAATCTGATACTAGAAGGGTAATATATTGTTATCAAATATGGCTTTGATGGATTATAACTTATCGTTATGAGTGAAATACATTTATTAAAATAATACATGATTCAATTAAAGCTTATTTACTGCTTAAACAGGTCTACATGGTTTGATTTTATTGGTCTTCATTAGCCCAGTCGAAGCAGAACAGTAGGACGTTAAATCCCATTTCATCTCATTTGTATTGTATTGTTGGGTATATTTTATGTGTAGGATTGTTGATCAGCATGTATAATGTGTTGGTTTTTATTTTTAAAAACAAAACTATTACAGAAATCAAATGGAAGTTCACGTCCATCTAGTAAACCTGCAACAAAAAAAGTGGAGGAGAAACCTAAAGAGGATCCAAATGTGTTTAATGTCAAAGACTTGGAGGAAGCTGAAAAAATAGAATTTGATGCAGAGAGAGCCATTGGTAAATATTAATACAATAAAATTTATTCAAAAAGCATCTCCTAGTAAATTCCTGATTTTCTTAAGACCATTATTCTTCTTTAAAATATGTTTTTTTAGTTTTGAAATTACCTTCATATTCCAACACTTTGAGTGGCGGTTGGTTGACCAGATGGTCTAATGCATGCACTTTAGATCGTGGTGGTCTGTCATGGAGTCAAGTGGCATAGTTTTCGGTTTCACAATTGAAAAGGTGTAGAGTCGCCTGCCTAACCTTATGGGTTTTCTCTGGGTCCTCCGGTTTCCTCCCAACGCTAAAGACCATTATGTGCTAGCAAATTATTGAAATAAAATTGTTTTATGTGTTAGTCCCAAAGCAAACAAGTTTGTATTAAACCCCATTTCTCTCTATAAAATAATTAAAAAAAATTTAATCTATCATATCTTTTGCAAAGCTCTTTAATCCATTCCAGAACAGTCTAATTATTTTCCTATTATTTTTGTTTCAGGTCAGAACCTTGTCGTACCAGTTACAGGTTTCTTCTGTAAATTATGTCATAAATTCTACAACAACGAAGAAGCTGCTAAAGTCGGACATTGTAAAACTCAAATACACTTTGATAAATACAAGGTATGCTAGTTTTTGTTTAGCAAATTTTATGAATCTAGCTTTTATTTGGATCCAACTAGTTACATGTTACTCTGATATTCTGACGAAGTAAAATTTAAAATCTACACAGTCAATAGCTTGCGCTAAAGTTGATAATTAGTTGACTACTTTCAATGGATGGCAAAATTCCCAATTTTAAGTTATCTACACTGCTAACACAATAAACTTATGGGTCATTGGATGCCCGAATTGTTAGCATGTGTGCGCATGGTTTCGATTCCCCAGTTGTACAAGACAAGGATTAAGGTCGCCTGTCCAACCTCAAGGGTTTTCTCCAGGTCCTCCGGTTTCCTCCCACTGCTAAAGACCCATATTCGCAAGCAAATTATTAAAATAAAAATGAACCATATGTTAGTCCCGAAATGACCACACACAATTAATTACACAAAACAAATATACGGACAATACGCAGAAATCACAAACAAACGTACATATCAGATTAAGTAAATGGATCCGGGGGCTAGCCGTAAGTGCTCTACATTCTTGGGCCTGTAGTGATACAGACTTCACTCAAAAAAACAATAAGAATATATCCCCAAAACATTGTGTAATACTAGTACGAGTTATGATCTGCTATATGCCACATGAAATATGAATGTAAGCATATCGAAGGGAAAAAAATTACCTATACAAACAACCATATCCGTGAAATGTATAAGTCAGGTAGCCTATAACTAAATGGTCTGTGTTATAGTGAGAAACATTTTAAGTATTCAAAAGAATTGAGGTGTATTGACTACAAAGTTAGGGCATATTTCCTATTTACCACCACTACCACGACCACCACCCCAAAAAAAAAAAAAATACTGACTACAAAGAAGGCAGGTCCCAGGTTGATACCTCTGTTGATTTAACACCACAAAAAAAAAAAAAATACTGACTACAAAGAAGGCAGGTCCCAGGTTGATACCCCTGTTGATTTAACACCACAAAAAAAAAAAAAAAAATACTGACTACAATGAAGGCAGGTTCCAGGTTGATACCTTTGTTGGCTGAGAAAGTTCCTCTGGATTTTCTGTTATGGTTTCCCTGTGTCCTGGCAAGGTCCCGTGTACACATTAGCATGCACATATAAAAAAAGCATTGACTATTAGTATTGAAAATAATAGTTGTCAGATAACCAAAATATTTTTTGTATGACAATGTAATAATTAAAGAAATATTTGTTTTCCCAGGCTACCATGATTGCTAAGTTTAAGAAGAAGGCAGAATCTGAGGCAAAAGTTAAGGAAGAAGCTGCTAAGAAAGCAGCTGAAAAAAAGGAGGCTGAGGAGGCGAAGAAAACAGAGTCCAAGGCAACTGAAGATTCAGAGAAGGTAGATGTCAAGAAAGAAAATGGAGGAGACATTACGGAAGCTGTTCAAAATGAAGCAGAATCTAACGAAGCCCAGGAATTAGGACAAAATACCTCCCTAGAGGAACCAGAAAACATTGACTTGTCATCTGCTGATCCTGTTTATTTGGGTTATGATGAAGATAAACAAGCTGATGAACAAACTGATGATGTTCAGCAACTGGCTGAAGATGAAGAAGAAAACAATAACCAAGATGATACAATGGAAGCTGACGAATCTTCTATTCTTGATGCTGAGGGTGAAAATGAAGAAGGAACAGAAGTAGAAGAAGAGGCTGAAGCAGAAAAAGAGAGCACAGAGGCAACACCAACCGCAAAGAGTCCACGAGGTCGAGTTCGAACTGGTAAATCACGCGGAGGAAAGGCTAAGCGAGGCAAAAAATAAATTCTCCATATATTTGAAAGATAATCATTTTAAGCACATTGTATTTAATTCCATCTTTTATTCATATCTTTATGAGTCGGTCATATTATTCACATACTGTAGTGTTCAGTGTTGAATTAAATTCTAATGGTGAAGATTATTCATGTTACATTTGTAAATATTGGGAGGTAGATGTATGTAGAGTTCTTTTCCAAAATCAGATAAATGCAAGGTCAGTTTTTTATGAAAAAAAACAGGCAGTTTCCTTTTTATCAAGCGAAATTCACATGATTTTTAATTGTGGTCTGAAACCGCCTGCTTAAATAACGATGAGAGTTATGCCCCTTTATTTTTGGTAAACATATCCGACAAGAAAAATTTTGAATCGCAACACTTAGTGAATCAGTTACACAGTTGCATTCAGGGGGCCAACCCCTTGATTGTATGCCCTCATGACTCAAGTATAGGGTCTAATACTTAGAAATGTAAGAAACCATGAAATGTTAAATGTGAAAACGGATGAATACATAAATTAAATTGGGCAGCTTGTACAACGAACTAAGTTAACAGCGATTATTTCATATTTAATTTCACTCTCTTGATTGAATGTACCCCTTAAAATTGATGCCCCCTCTGTTCCAGGGGCTAAGTAAGAGGGATGCATTGAAACGCTTTGCATTATGGTTTTGAGTTTTTGTGCCCCCTCACAAATGGCAAAAAGTCATGCGGTTTCAATGTAGTTTTCAACATTATAATCATAATCATAATGCTCAACCAGTGTCAAACATATACCATGGGTCAGATACGATACAAATTGACTCTTAACATGTTCCACACGCCCAATATTACCCCCTCCCCCGCACACAAATATAAATATTGTTTTTTGGGGGCCCGGACGGGATCTTGTTCCTCATGCAAAATCATGGGTCACCTGCTCTGTTACCCTTCTCTGTACATCACTGTATTCATTGAATTTAAAACCATATCATATTCTTTAGAGAGAAGAAAAGAAAAACTTGAATCCCGTTAGTTATATTTTGGAAAAGACATCTTCATTTACTATTAGAGGTCTATATCATGTTGGTAAACAGATAGTCGCTATCATCCAGAAAAGATATCTTCATTTGCTATTATAAAATCGGTTTCAGTGGTTCTGAACCTTTTGTTGCCAACGGCACACATTGGAATACATGAAAAAATAACGACACATAGATTGACTCAAACTAAATAAAGAAAAATACAGCTATGAACTTAGCAGTAGACACCAATGAATACTCAATTGGGATCACATGTTTTTTTTTGCATTTTCTTAGAGTGCCGTTCAAAATTTCGCGGCACACCTGGTTGAGAATCACTGGTCTATATCATATTGGTAAACAGACTGTTGTAAATATTGGTATTCGCATGCAAGCGTACTTAATCAAAATTGTCAGTTTAAAAAAATGGAGACAGATAAATGATATCAAATTTTTTATTATTTCTAGTATGGTACAAAAAGTATTGTAATGCTTCGTTACATTTCTTATGTTATTTAAAAATAGCAGTCTTATAGAAAAAATGTAATTTGGTTTCCATGAAAAAATTAAAATAGTATATATTAAAAATGTATTCACTTGTTTTCTGTAAAAGTTGATTTAGGTGTGTTCAATCAGGATGATTTAAAAATAGTTAACTTTTTGTGCAAAGTCTTTATACAATAAAGGGGGATTGGATGGGCTAATGTGTGCGTGTTGTATCATAAGATCTGTCATTGAGTCAACTGGCATGGTTTCAATTTCCTGGTTGTACGTGACAAAGAGTAGGGTCGCCTGTCCAACCACATGGATTTTCTCTGGCTGCCCCCATTGCTAAAGACCCCTACGCGCAAGCGAATTATTAAAATAAAATTAAACCATATGTTAGTCCCGAAATGACCTAGGTTAAACCCCTCTCTCTCCTGCAGTAAACCTGTTAATAATCCAGTTGTAAATAATAATTGCTTGCAAGTCTTGCCAAACAATTTCTAGTCTTTATTTACTTTGCTGTCCATAAGCAGTTTTGGAGTCTGGACAACGGGGTCCTTACACCCAACAAGAAGAGACTTTCATATAAAATATATAGTAACTTATTTAGTGGATTTGAATACATTTTGTGATGGATAACTCAACCTAAAAATAGAACACTGTATGACAAGGAGTGCTATCTAGTTGTTCAGATGTGACAAAAAAAAACACAAGGTACTGCGTACACATTGGCGCACACGTAAATGATCCTTGGCAGATGAAATTCAATATAAGGCAAAATTTATCTCATAGCACATTGTAGTCAGATTGATGCCTAGAAGTAGGTTTAAAACACCCAGTACATTTCAGATAGGGTGTGTAAACCCAGCCACTGAAATTGCAGGCAATGGACATCATTGCCAATTGGGGAGAATTATTAAAACAACAATTTATTACTGGTCCGAGTAGTCATATTAAAACAAACACAATTCATTAAAACAAGCACAATTATTTATCTATTAAAACGCTTGGTCCGAGTGGTCTTTTTTCAGTTTTTTTTTGGCCCGAGTGTTCATGGAACCGATGAAATTGGGCTTGGATCTGTTGAGATAATAAATACAAGGTTGTTTACATAGCTTTCAAGGTGAGCTATTAAGTTTAAATCTTGGAGATTAGATAATAGGAAATTATGAATCGGTCTTGTTATAATTGTCTTACTTTTAACTTTTAAAAGAAAACGCGAAGAATTTTGGGCTGTTCTGATTGGTACTAAAGTTTGGTTGTTAAATTGGAGTTTTGTCCCTTACACCATATAATTGATAGAAAAGGGGGAATTAACTCTAAAATTAACTCTCTAGGCCGCGAAAGCGTTTTTGGTATGATCGATGTAAACACGTTATGAACATGATGTTTTTATTATCAGAACTTAACTGTTATTTGAACAGAATGTCATGAAGATATTGTATGCTGCTAGAATGGAATACACTCCTGAAATTGCTGTTTTGCAGGCATCATTTGAGTTTGCTGAAAAAAAGGTGAGAAGACATAGAAAAAAAAGTCAAACACATCATAGATAATACGGTATTATCTATGAACACATACACTAAAACAGAATTTTATTTCTGACTCAGTTTGAGTTACTCACCCAGCCAGACACAACTAACAATCATACAATTACAAAACGGGCAATTCAGAAAGACAACTGCACTGTTTGTCAGTTTATAAAATTTAAAGACGATTTTCTTTCAACAATTTGCAATTTACTTGTTTTGATTTGCATCAATACTCCCCACAAAATGTCCGGATCCTCCGGTTTCCTCCCACTGCTAAAAGACCCCTAAGCGCAAGCGAATTATGTAAATAAAATTAAACCATATGTTAGTCCCGAAATGACCTAGTTTGTGTCGAGTGGATGTTAAACCCCATTTCTCTCTCTCTCTCCCCCAAAAATGAAATGGGGTCAAGTGACTTAGTAAGTAAGGCAGTGGGTTGCTAGCCTGGAGGTAGCTGGTTAGCTCTCGGTGTTGGCCGTGAAAGTTCATCAGGATTTTCAGGCGTGGTTTCTCCTGTATCAGTGGTTCAGGACGGAGGGCCTGACAAGGACAGTTGTCTAGTCGTTTGGATGGGACGAAAAAACTGTTTACGTATGAGTTTACAAGTATGTTAAGTACATGCATATTTAAATTTAAATAACATGCATTTCGGTATAAAGGTCTGTTAAAAGGGGTTCCTACAGTACACAGATCTAAAAATGAAGGGTAGTATTAAATGTAAATCCATCAATGGGGAATGGGTATGCAAGACTAAGAGGTTTGGGGATTCTATTAATTCTTTGAAAAGATATTGTCATTTATTTCTTTATTTTTCCAGAGATATTTCTATCTCCAGTTTAGCATTTGCTATTAAGAAGATTTCATATTTATTTATATTTAGTGTTCCATTTCGTAATTTAGTCTGATGTATATAAAACTTAGTTAAAATAATTACATGATTAATAAAGATCCATTCAGTGTTTTTTATAGAATAGGGTTTGTTAGTGAGACCAAGATGCTTGACATTTGTTGTTATATTGATCTTTAGAAAAATTGATTCATATTATTTTTGAGAAAGGGCTTAACACAAAGAGATGTTCCACAGTTTCTATGTTAGACTCGCAGAAGGTACGTAGTGTGTTATTTACTTTTTTAATTTTAATTCATTCATTCTATTTTTATTTTACAGATTGGTTGTAAATTATCTACATTGCAGAAAATTAATGTTGTGAAGTTAATCGAAATAATAGATGAAGCTATAAAAGATATATTAAAAGGCCTTGAGGAAGATCTCTCAAAATTTGATCAAAAATGGTGGAACTCAAAGTTACATAGCATCTTTCTTTACAAAGCTTTACAGAATGAGGCAAACGAACCTGGTTGTCAAAGACAAACAGCGTTATATAAATTATGTCATCTATTACCTAATATAAGTTTTGCTGTTTATTTTGAAGCCGTGAAAACTTTTGATTGGTTTCAATTCTTCATTGAAGTAAGTAACTGACTCCTTTCAATCAAAGGGGGTTGGATGGCGAATGGTTAACGCATGCGCACTGTTTCATAAGGTCTGTCATTCAGTTAACTAGCATGGTTTTGATTCCCCAGTTGTATGTGACAAGGAGTAGGGTCGTCTGTCCAACCTCATGCATTTTCTCTGGGTCCTCCAGTTACCTTCCATTACTAAAGACCCCTATGCAAGCGATTTATTGAAATAAAATTGAACCATATGTTAGTCCTGAAATTACCTAATTTGTGTCAAGTGGACGTTAAACCCCATCTTTCTCTCTCCCTTTCGATCTGGGGGATGTATGGCCGAATGGTTAGCGCGTGCGCACTGTTTCATAAGGTCTGTCATTGAGTTAACTGGCATGGTTTTGATTCCCCAGTTGTATTTGACAAGGGGTAGGGTCGTCTGTTCAACCTTGTGCGTTTTCTCTGGGTCCTCCAGTTTCCTTCCATTACTGAAGACCCCTATGGGCAAGCGAATTATTGAAATAAAATTTAACCATGTGTTAGTCCTGAAATGACCTAGTTTCTGTCGAGTGGACCTTAAAACCTCTCTCTCTCTCTCTCTAGCTATTTCTATTTGATAGCACAATACATCCTTAATCACACATTAGATAGTTCAGCTGTGACACTGGTGAAATCCATTACTGTGTGTTATGCTGTTAATGGAAATAATGCCTCTCTCTCTCTTTCTCTCTCTCTCACCATTTAATCAATGTTCATGATTTTATTTTTTACAAAGTATAGACAAGTGTTTATGCCTTTTCATTTAATCAGATTCTAGGTAGGTGTGCTTTCAAATTTTATTAGAAAATAAAAATTCAGATGTACAAAATTCATAAAATTTGTTCAATGATTAATATGTTTCATTGTCTGTAATATGATGTTGTTTCTTAATTTTCAGATTCCAGATTTTCTTGGGGAAACAGAGAAAGACATTTTGTGTATGAAAGCCTTAAAACATGTCCAAGAAACACCTGTCAATCACATGGATCTTCAGCTAGCTTCATCTGTGATTGGTCAATTCATTTTACTATGGCTAAAAAAGACACCATTCATTCATTCATGGAAATCAACAATAGGAGATACTAATCAAACACAACATTCGGAAGAAATGAAATTTAATGAATTTTTATCTGTATTATTAGATTATGTGTCCTCACATGGTGATCAAATCAAAAAAATGGATTTGAAAATATTAAAACAATCTATGTACCGAGTTTTAACAGTACCAATATTGACTACAGACCCACAGCTAATTTTCGATGAAATCAGCCTTGATTTATTAGACTTACACAAACCTCGAAATAGATCGCTCTTTGCCCCATATATTCAAGATCGTTCTACATGTATAACTTCCGAGAAAAATACGTTTATTGAAGTGAATAATTTTCCCTGTTTGTCTTGGTTGAATTGTGTTAACTTACTTTTAAATACTTTAAATGATGTAGACGGCGTGTTAAATGATCCATCCATTGTTGTGGGGGATTTCAGCATTCCCACAAAGATCATAGCAGCCAACCTTTTATCTATTCAAGATCAGATATGTGGTAATATGCCTGAAAATTTGCTACAACACAAGGATAATATATTTAATTTTATTGAAAAGCTGTTCAATGAACAAAAACTAGCCAGTGAAATCATTGGGAAGCACGAAGAGGAAATGTCAACACAATCGTGTATTAAAAGAATCAAGATGAAACGGCCTGGATTTGAAGGTTAGAAAAGTATTATAGTCTATAATTCTTATTTTCAAGAATATGACAAATTGAGAATTTGTCAACATTCGACATGCTCTGCAAACAATTTTAAACAGGATATGGTGAAAACAAGCCAGAGTCACCTGTAATCCTTGCTAAAATATTTTATTATTAAATCAGATTATGGGGCTTGGATGGCCGAATGGTTACCGAGTGCACATTGTATCATAAGATCTGTCATTGAGTCAACTGGCGTGGTTTCGATTCCCCGGTTGTACGTGACAAAGAGTAGGGCAGTTCAACCCTGTGGTCATGGGTTTTCTCCACGTCCACTGGTTTCCTCCTACTGCTAAAGACCCCTACATGCAAGCGAATTGTTGAAATAAAATTGAACCACATGTTAGTCCCAAAATGACATAGTTGGAGTCAAGTGGAGGTTAAACTCTCTATCCTTCTCTCTCTCTCACTAAATCAGATTAATATTAAGTGAGGAGATTACCTACCCTTGATATTTGTCCCCCGCCTTTCGAAGAAAGCAGGGGACTATTAAAATGGGTTCGTCCGTCTGTCTGTCCGTCTGTCTGTCCGTCACACTTTTTGGGACACAATAACTCTCTTCCTAATTGAGCTAGAATGTTCAAACTTGGTGTATGTGTTTATTAGGTCAATGCCTTGATGGAGTTCGAAGATGAGCATTTTCCGCTTAGGGTAAGCAGAGATAAGCAATTTGATTGGTTGATGCTTTGGGACACGATAACTTTTAATTGAGCTAGAATGTTCAAACTTGGTGTATGTGTTTATTAGGTCAATGCCTTGATGGAGTTCGAAGATGAGCATTTTCCGCTTAGGGTAAGCAGAGATAAGCAATTTGATTGGTTGATACTTTGGGGCACGATAACTCTCTGCCTAATTGAGCTAGAATGTTCAAACTTGGTGTATGTGTTGATTAGGTCAATGCCTTGATGGAGTTCGAAGATGAGCATTTTCCGCTTAGGGTAAGCAGAGATAAGCAATTTGATTGGTTGATGCTTTGGGACACGATAACTTTAGTTCTAATTAAGTGAGATTGATGAAACTTGGTGTATAGTTTCATTACATCAATACCTTGACTAAGTTCAATCATGAGCATTTTCTACTCAGGCTAAGCAGAGCGATAAGCAATTTGATTGGTCGAGACATTGGAACACAATAATTCACATTCTAATTGATGTAGAATGTTCAAACTTGGTGTAGGCTTTCATTAGGTGAATGCCTTGATGGAGTTCAATGATGAACATTGTATGCTTACGGTAAGCAGAGATAAGCAATCTGATTGGTTGATGCTTTGGGGCATGATAACTTTGAGAGAGATGAAACTCCGAATATAGATTCATTATATCATTACCTTGACTAAGTTCGATGGTGAAAATTTTCTGCTAAGGCTAAGGAGCAATAAGCAATTTAATTGATTGGTCAAGACTTTGGAACATAATAACTCTGCTTTTAATTGAGGTAGAATGTTTAAACTTGATGTAGATGTTCATTAGGTGAATGTCTTGACTAAGTTCAATGATTAACATTTCGAGCTGAAGCCAAGCAGAGCTTATCAGTTTCATAATCTTGATTCTATTTGATAGACAGTGATGAAACTTAGTCTATAGTTTAACTGTTCGATACTTTTGAAAAAAATAAATGTTCTTTTAATTAATACGTGTCATCTAATTATTTTGCTATTTCGGCGGGGGACATCAGCCTCACTGTTGGCTTGTTTGATTTGATTTTCGTAATTAGATATTAAATAATAGATTTCATTACTGGTACAAATAGTATATGAATAGAGCAGTAGCACAAACATTCATAATAATTATCAATATTATGTTAATTCCCCCAAAACACTGTTTACATGTACATACGGTATTGGGTGTTAATGAAAGAGATTATCAGCATACACTTCCTTATGCACAGCACCCTGTGATATAAGGTTTGATTTAGTGTACAATGCTGGATTATAGTGATATACTAGTGAAAAACACATGTTTTATTTCAGCTGATATAGAGAAAATATTGAGTAATTCTGATCTTCAGGTCTGGTTGAATGAGGGGTAAGTGTTCTTAATTGACCTTATAGCAAGTTTTATGATGGGGATCCACAGAGACTCAGTGAGTAAGACACTGGCTCACTAATCAGGAGGTCTCAGGATCGCCTCCGGGAGAAAGTTCCTCAGGATTTTCCTGGATGTAGGATTGGCGGGCATTTAGGAATAAAAAAACCTTGGCAGTTGGAATTAAAAAAAAAAATTGTCTTGTCACACACTATATCGCGTATACTCATCTTCATTAACCCAGTCGGTGCATAAAAGTAGGATGTTAAACCTCATTTGTTTTCATTTATTTGGATTCTTTAAATTAGATATTAAACATGCATTATGCAAGAGCTAAATCTGTCTATTGCAGGTCTTTCTGCAGGCCTGAAATGTTAATTAGACATTAATTAACTTATCTAGGCCATAATCAACTCTAGATGCCATCGTTAGCCTGCGATATTTACTGGATCTGAATAGATTTTGTGATGAATAGTTTAACGTAGAAATGGATATTCAAGACTTTATCATACCAACGTCAGTAATGACAACTGAGACTAGCTTAAAATTTAATGGCTCATATCCTTGATTCAGAGTGAAGCACTTTGACGGAAATTTTCAGCATATTTCGTTTTCATTATCTAATTTTTAACTATATAGCGAGAACTGTGAGCTCTTTATCTAATCTAACCTAATGCCCCTTTAATTAATTTATTAACATATCTTACATATTTGTTGTAAATCTTTATCTATATGTTTTACAAGTATTTATATATGTTTCGTATCTAATCTAACCTAATGCCCCTTTAATTAATTTATTAACATAACTTACATATTTGTTGTAAATCTTTATCTATATATTTTACAGGTATTAAGACATGTTTCGTATCTAATCTAACCTAATGCCCCTTTAATTAATTTATGAACATGACTTACATATTTGTTGTAAATCTTTATCTATATGTTTTACATGTATTTAGACATGTTTCGTATCTAATCTAACCTAATGCCCCTTTAATTAATTTATTAACATGACTTACATATTTGTTGTAAATGTTTATCTATATATTTTACAGGTATTTAGACATGTTTTGTAATAACTCCTGTTTATTGTATAAAGAAAGATATCTGTACAGGTTGTATAAAATTTACAGTGATTGGATCAAACAGAAACATAACAATGACATACAGGAAATACAGACTAAATTTTCTCAGGTAATGTCGACTATCTCTACGTATATTTGATATGTGTATTTGTTTATATACTCTATAAATACAGTGGATCTAGTTCAATAATCCTAATCTTTGGTCACATGGGGGATTGGATGGCCGAATGGTTAGCATGTGCACGCTGTATCATAAAGTCTGTCATTGAGTGAACTGGCATGGTTTCAATTCCATGTCTTGTACGTGACAAGGAGTAGGGTTGGGACAGATGTCTTGCTCCAGTACGGTATGCATAATCTTGAAGAATTTTGTAAGATAAATAGAAATTTTTTTGCCCTGTAGTTTTAGTTTGAATGGTTTTGTAATTAGAGAGAGAGAGAGAGAGAAATGGGGTTTAACGTCCACTTGACACAAACTAGGTCATTTCGGGACTAACATATGGTTTAATTTTTCTATTTCAATAATTCGCTTGCGCGTAGGGGTCTTTAGCAGTGGGAGGAAATTGGAGGACCCGGAGAAAACCCACTAGGTTGGACAGGCAACCCTACTCCTTGTCACGTACATCTGGGGAATCGAAACCCCGCCGTTGACTCAATGACAGACCGTATGATACAGTGCGCGTGTGCTAACCATTCGGCCATCCAACCCCCCTTTTGTAATTAGACTTGAGGAAGTAAATATATACATGTATCTGGAGAGAAAAAGAAATGGGGACTAACACATGGTTCAATAGTGGGAGGAAACCAGAGGACCTGGAGAAAACCCACAAGGTTGGACAGGCGACCCTAATCCTTGTCAAGTACAACCACTCCAGTTGACTTAATGAGAGACCTTATGATACAGCGCTAACCATTCGGTCATCCAACCCCATATCTTGAGATTGATATATGTTTGTAATTCTTGTATTTTTTTCAGTTGATCTGTTTGGTGTTTAGAAATCTACCTCTATTACTACAAGAAAAGTTTACATTACATGTATATTTACAATCAGAATGTACATCATCAGTATTATTATATATAGAGACTGATATAACATCTACCTTTAACAGGTTTACCAGTCAATCAACAAAACAGGTAGGATCTAATTAATATCACATCTTTATTTTATTCCTATATAAAGATTAATGACTGACTAAATTGATTAATTCATAATAAACACACTAACCTAATAGAACACAATTACTATTTTAATTAAAGCGATGTTTTGTTGAGGGTCCCCTCAAAGTAATCGAACAAATGATAATGAATATATTATACAGGAGGTTTGATTGAAAATGTTAAGAGGAACATTGTTTTAATTAAAATACTATTAATAAGTGTGTTCCATATTATGAAGATCAATTTTTAAATGCTACTCAAGGAATGAATTGATTAATTTATATATTTACAGATCTTACAAGAGGTTTCGTGTTTACTGTTGGTTGATTTACAATCTACCATGAAGAGACTGGTTGATACTGTTATATCTAATCCAGCACAAATAAACACTGTTCTACAGGTAACATAATGTCACAATATCAATCAAACCTAAATTTTTAAAATCAAACTTAAAGATGCATTCTGCAAGAGTTAAATCTGCCCATAGCAGGTCCTGATTCAACTCTCGGTGTCATCGCTAGCCTGGGATATTTACTGGATTAGAACCCGATCTGCTGCTGTTGATTAAATCAAAAAATGAATAATCGAGACTATGTTTTTTTTATCGTACCGACTTTAGTAATGATGATCGAGGCTAGTCCCAAAATTCAATCGCTAAATTCTTGGTTCAGAGTGGATCAATATGACTGAAATTTTCAGCAAATTGCCTTTACATTATCTAGTTTTTAACTATTATAGTGATAACTGCCAGCTCTTTATCTAATCTCTCATAATGTATCTTTAATGTATTATATTATGAATTTCAGTCATTTACCAGCTTTTTAAGAAAAAAAACAAAACAAAAACACCTCTTCTACAGTCATATGTTTTTCTTGTTACTATCTTCACAATGACTAATAAAAATTTTACTCATGACTACCAATCTCATTTCAGATACTCCAGTCCATACCAAACCTATGCCACTGTCGTCATATACACTTTCATCCTGACATGTCATTACTAGTGACATTATTACAAGATGCTTTACTGACTACAGAATTAACAAAAGATCAAGAAAAAAACCTACTGAAATTTCTTTCTTCGGCCGTACAGGTAGACTCTAATTCTTCGGCCGTACAGGTAGACTCTAATTCTTCGGCCGTACAGGTAGACTCTAATTCATTATGTTTGAAATGTTTGTGAGGTTTACAGTAGGTTTGTCTATAACTATTTACATAACAACAACAAATGCAATGGATGTCTCATTAACACAATACTTTAGTCATTTTTGACGGCATGTTCAAGGGTAGACCTCAGATTTTTGTCTTATTCAAGGCGGGGAGCCACGGTGGCTAAGTGAGTAAGATGCTGGCTCACTAGCCTGGAGGGCGTGTGTTCTAACCCTGCATTGGCAGAGAAAGTTCATCAGGGTTTTCCGCCGTGGTTTGCCTTTGGCAGTGGTGTAGGACGGAGGGCCTGACAAGGACGGCTGTCTAGTCATTCGGATGAGACGGAAATCCAAGGTCTGTGTATTCATTGGTTTGCATGTGAAATATCCCTTGGCAGTTGGAATTCGATGTAAGAGTAGGCCATAGTGCCACTGGGCAAAATTTCCCTCATAGCACACTGTATGCCCGTCTTCATTAGCTCAGTCGGAGCAGAAAAGTAGGATGTTAAACCCCATTTCATTTTCTTATTCAAGGCTTTTGGTTTCATTTCTTTGTGCGCAGTCACTGAATACTTTATGCCTTTAAAATATACAAGACTTTGTATTAAGATTTTAAATTTAAGTTGTGTTTCTTGAATATTACGCTAATTGTCTGTAAATAAAATTTAAATCAGATGTCGATTCCACACCATTTTGATGTCGTACTACAGTAATTTGATGTTCATAGCAGTAATTTATATATTTCAGGAATACAAGTATGAAATAATGGAAGATCATTTTATCTGTGAACAACCACCTGTAAATCTTGGAGAATTTATTAATACATGTATTCTACCCTATTTAAACAGTGATGAATTTAACAGCTATACTTCATCAATATCTTTAAACTTCACATTAAAACTATTTACTACAGTATTAGATAAGAGTGTCAGTAAAAGCAGATGTGATTGGCTGTTGGAGTTGAATCATATTGTAATCTTATCAATAATTGGTGAAATATATAATGTCTGTGTTGATGGAATGGAGGATTATAATAGGAGAATGCTGATTCGTCAGTCTGTTACTAAATTTCTGACATCTCTAAAAACTGCTTTAAAAACATGTGGTTATTGTGTAGAGTGTAAGTTTATTGTTCTTGTTTATTTACTAACGAGGGAAATGAAATGAAATGGGGTTTAACGTTCTACTGTTCTGCTCAGACTGGGCTAATGAAGACGGGCATACGCCATACGCCATACAGTGTGCTATGAGGGAAATTTTGCCCGGGCAGCGACACTATGGCCTACTTTTATATCGAATTGTAGTTCATTGGAGTTAACCAATCACAAATTACAACCTGTGCATTACTGAATGATCCTTATAAAGAAATCTCTCTAGATCAAGACTGAATAAACAACTGACGTAAAAAAAAAATAATAAAAATAATGAAAGAGAATATTGGTATAATCTTGATTATAGACGGAGTACTAAAATGTGGAGTGAGAATTATTGAAAATGAATACTGGCCCCGGTTTCACAAAACATTCTTAGACTTACGTTAAGAATTTAATCAACTTTCAATCACAGTTTATAAGAAATATCTTTGATCCAGAAACACAAAACTTTGCACATAGTTTCTCATTGATGTATTTGATACATTAAAACAACAAAAATTTTATAAAGGGTGATATTTTAATTTCAAAAGGGCAAACAATTTTGGGTAAATTCTTAACTTAAGTCTGAGAATGTTTTGTGAAAAAGTTGAATTATTTGTTTGTTTTATTTTCTCAGTATCCAGCATGAGTTGGTTGATGAAAGATATAGAGGAAGTTAACTGGATTGTAAAAATAATTCTCCATAAATTCCTGTCTGATTTTATTACTGATGGTAATAATTTACATAAAAAGGTTTGTACTAAATAGGACTGTTGGTTCTAAATAAAGATATAGTAATAGGTCTACTTCCTCGGCAGTCATAAGCCTAAAGTGGGGGGGGGGGGAATTGGGTGGCTCTTTAGAACATATATAGGCTCTGTCATTGAGTCAAGTGGTCTCGTTTTCGCTCTTGTACGTGACATGGAGTAGGGTTGCCTGAATATAAATGGCTAAGAGTGCAGGTTTTCTAATCTCCAAACTGCAGTTTGTAATAATGAAGTTATTGTCCCCCGCCTTTCGAAGAAAGCAGGGTCCTATTAAAATGGGTTCCGTCTGTATATCCGTCACACTTTTTGGGACACAATAACTCTCTTTCTAATTGACCTAGAATGTTCAAACTTGGTGTAGGTGTATATTAGGGCAATGCCTTGATGGAGATCGACGGGTAAGCCGAGATAAGCAATTTGATTGGTTGATGCTTTGGGACACGATAACTTTAGTTCTAATTAAGTGAGAGTGATGAAACTTTGTGTATAGTTTCATTACATCAATACCTTGACTAAGTTCGATAATGAGCATTTTCTGCTCAGGGTAAGCAGAGCGATAAGCAATTTGATTGGCCGAGACTTTGGTACACAATAACTCTCCTTCTAATTGAGCTAAAATGTTCAAACTTGGTGTAGGTGTTTATTAGGTCAATGCCTTGATGGAGTGTGAAGATGAGCATTTTCTGCCTAGGGTAAGTAGAGATAAGCAATTTGATTTGTTGATGCTTTTGGACACGATAACTTTAGTTCCAATTAAGTGAGAGTGATGAAACTTGGTATATTGTTTCATTACATCAATACCTTGACTAAGTTCGATGATGAGAATTGTCTGCTTAGGCTAAGGAGCAATAAGCATTTTGATTGGTCAAGACTTTCGAACATAACAACTCTGCTTCTAATTGAGGTAGAATGTTTAAACTTGATGTAGATGTTCGTCTTGACTGAGTTCAATGATTAAAATATTGAGCTAAAGCTAAGCAGAGATAAGCAATTTCCTTGGTCGATGCTTTGGGACAAGATAACTTTGATTCTATCTGTTAGAGAGTGATGAAACTTAGTGTATAGTTGATAATCTGTTTGATTGCTCGATACTTTTGAAAAAAATAGATGTGCGATTAATTAATGTGTGTCATCTATTTATTTGGGGATTTCGGCGGGGGACATCAGCCTCACTGTTGGCTTGTTAACTTATTAATGTGATTTGTGTCTATAATTTTTTTTCCTGTTCATTAGAAATATGCTGCACTCTCAGACAATTTTACTCTGCAAATCTTTTAATGTTATGGTTGTGAAATGGGAAATAATAGTTGATTCATTTGTTTTATTTTAGTTGTTAGAAGAACTTATGGAGTCTGTTTTTGCCCAATCTGGTAAGAGAAAATTAAATTTTATAGAAGTATTAATTTCTCATGTACATACAGTTTTTTGCTTTTAAGGAGTCATGCTAACAAGATCTTCTACATATTAGCAATTGGTGTATGTAAATAACCTTGGACAACTCGAAACTACCAGAAACTACTATTCTTTAGATCACTTCAAACTGTCCGAGATTTGTAAATAGCTCTGTCTTGTAGGACTGTTTTCTAGTTGTTTGGGATGCCACAACAGTTGATGTGATTCAGGTACTGTAAGGAGTCATGGCTGGAGCTGTTTTGGACTAAAGCAGTGGTTCTTAACCTTTTCTTGGCAACAGCACACTTTGGAACACATGAATAAATAGCGGCACACCTGACTAAATATATATGAAAAATATTTGAATTTTGCAAAATAAAAACATGGCAAGTCATAGATGGCATACAACCGTAGACAGAGATTAGTCATAGAAACATAGAATGACTCAAACTAAATAAAGACAAACGCAGCTATGAACTTATCAGTAGACACCAGTTTATACTCAATTGGGATCAAGTGGCTTTTCACATTTTTTTTGCGGCACACTTAGGAACACTGGTTGAGAATCACTGGACTAAAGGCTTAAATTATCATGGATTCTACTGGATAAAGCCAGTGTATTACAGCACCTGAAATGCTTTGATCATTTAACTTTTAACAAAAACCAATTTTCGACATATAAAAAGAATTAACTTCTATTTTGTTCTGTTTTCAGATGAAAGTCTAGCACCACTCTTCCAGTTCTGTATTTTAAATGATGGAACATCTGCAATGGTTTATCAGCATCTAGATCAATTATCATCACACAGTATAACATCTGAGTTGTTAATAACATCGCTCTCTAAGGTATAATCACACATGAAATTTATAATGTTTTTTGTGGCTAAGTGGGTAAGACGCTAGCTCGCTAGCCTGGAGGTCGGGTGTTCGATCCCTGCATTGGCCGAGAAAGTTCATCCAGATTTTCCGGCGTGGTTCTCCCTTGTCAGTGATGCAGGACGGAGGGGCTGACAAGGAAAGCTGTCTAGTCGTTCGGATGGGACGAAAAACCGAGGTCCCGTGTACACATTGGCGTGCACGTAAAAGATCCCTTGGCAGTTGGAATTCGATATAAGAGTAGGCCGTAGTGCCGCTGTCCGGGCAAAATTTCCCTCATAGCACACTGTATGGCGTATGCCCGTCTTCATTAGCCCAGGTTAGGAGCAGAACAGTAGGACGTTAAACTCCATTTCATTTCATTTCATTTATAATGTTTTTTGTTTAATAAAAATTAAAGGGGCATTATGGAAGATTAGATAAAGAGCTGACAGTTCTGACTATAATAGTTAAAAACTAAATAATGTAAAGGGAATATTTCTCCACTCTGAACAGAGATATTAGTGATTGAATTTTATACCAAGCCTCGATCCTCATGACGATCCTCATTACTAAAGTCAGTACGATAAAAAACATAGTCTCGATTTTCCATTTTTTGATTTAATCATCAATGAACCTTGAGCAGCAGATCGGATTCTAATCCAGTAAATATCACAGGCTAGAGATGACATCGAGAGTTGATTATGGTCTGGATAAGTTAATTAATGTCTAATTTTGATTTATAGTCTAGACTATAGACTAGATGGACTTTGCCATCATAATTAAGCTTTTCACACAGTCTTATTAAAATTAGACGTTAGTCTACTTTCATTTGTTTTTGTTTTTATGAATCTAATACCATCTTGTTATATCTTTGCAGATTTTATCAAGTAGTTTAGTTGGTAGTGAATGGATGAGATTGTATCAACTATTACATACAATGATACAGAAAGATATACTAACTGTACCTATTAGAATTATATACCTGGATAAAATAATACCTACACATATTCAAGGTAATATACAGTCCTAATTGTACATGTATAATCTTTTTCTTCATATTCTTAACTGTATCTATCTCCATTTTCCTAACTGTGGATAAGCTTTATCTTCAGATTCCTAACTGTATTGTCCAAATCTTCATATCCCTAACTGTATCCTCTACATTTATAAGCTTTAGATTCCTAACTGTAGTCCCTATATGTTTAAGCTTTATCTTCATATTCCTAACAGTAGTCTCTACATTTATAGTCTTTATCTTCAGATTCCTAACTGTAGTCCCTATATGTTTAAGCTTTATCTTCATATTCCTAACTGTAGTCTCTACATTTATAGTCTTTATCTTCAGATTCCTAACTGTAGTCCCTATATGTTTAAGCTTTATCTTCATTTTTCTAATGGCAGTCTCTATCTTTATCATCATATTCCTAACTGTATCGTTTACATATGTTAGCTTTATCTTCATATTCCTAACAATATTCTCTATATGTATAAGAGGGGTTGGATGGCTGAATGGTTTGCGTGCGCGCGCTGTATCATAAAGTCTGTCATTGAGTCGACTGGCGTGGTTTCGAATCCCCGGTTGTACGTGACAAGGAGTAGGGTTGCCTGTCCAACCTCGTGGGTTTTCTCCAGGTCCTCCGGTTTCCTCCCACTGCTAAAGACCCCTATGCTCAAGCGAATTATTGAAATAAAATTAAACCATGTGTTAGTCCCGAAATGACCTAGTTGTGTCGAGTGGACGTTAAACACCATTTCTCTCTCTATATATATATGTATAAGGGTTATCTTCATATTCCAAACAGCATTTATAAGAGTTATCTTCATATCCTAACGATATCCTCTACATTTGTATTCTTTATCTTTTTTATAAGAATCTGTAATCTCTTTTCACATATTAGAGGAGTGTTGTTCATATACAGGTATTTTATATTACAGATAATGTTTGTTTACTGGGGGCTATACAGTTAATAAATGATGTTATATTGATGATATTACCAGTGTTATCAGATGGTATAATACAACATATCATCAGATCTTATGCAACATTAGTTCAGGTATATATCCATATTCTAAAACTTGATCATTAAAAATGCTTACGTTTCTGCACCGACTGGACTGATGAAGACAAGCATTGCAATGTAGGGGAAATTTTGCGCTCGCTGATGTTGGTTGAGAAAGTTCTTCGGGATTTCCCCTTGTTAATGGTGCAGGACGGAGGGTATGACAAATATGGCGTCCAGTCGTTCGGATAGGACGAACGACTGAGGTCCCATGTATATGGCGTGCAAGTAAAAGAACCCTTGACCATTGGAATTTTAAATATGAGAGTAGTCTGTAGCAGGGCTTCCACTTCAAAATTTTCACTGCCAGTCATTTTTGATAACGCACGAAAACTTTTCAAAGTAAATTTATATTTCATGTTTATTATTCATGGTAGGGTATTGTGAATTCACGTGTCTATACTACTATGTCACCATGGGGTGCACAAAAAAAATATATTTGACTTAAAAATGAAATATTAGTAAGGCTCATGATAATTATTTAATAATTAAATATTCCGTTTTGGCAACTTAAATAACGAAATAGTTGAATTGGCCGGAGAAAAACCATTTCAGTAGCTCACACGTAATTAACACGTGCTCTATAGAAAACACACTGACCTGGATAATTTTGAGTTGTAATACAATAACTTTGAAATGAAGATAAATATATAATTATCCATGGCATATATCTCACATTTTTTTTGGTTTTAGACCATCTCATACGGAATTACGGGCCACAGAATTGTGACTTAAATCCTAATAATGTATAAAACTAAATGACTAACGGATAACTAACTTCACGGCTAGCGACACTAGTGCCCCCTAGAATATGGTCGTGTCTAAGAGTAACCGTATATACACAACATTTCTTCTACACATGGAATTATCAATATTGCTGCACAATAGAACTGGAATACGTATTTTTCTTAATTGTTCGGTAAGCAAGTTAACTAATCTCTAGATTTTATTTCAACAATTTCCACAAGGCCGTAAGGATTTATGTAATTTCTATGCTGTTTTTATTTGATATGACAGTTGGTTGGATTCGAAGAGCAATACTTCATATCAATTGCCCTTTTTCGAAGATCATAATAACCTTGTTTACATTGTGCCTGACTGTAATAGCGGTAAACGGCTTTGTTGTTGAAAATTCTTATGACACGTGGACAATACTTAAATGATTAACAATGGGCCGCTTCACGCCGTTGATTAGATTCCCACTTATCAATTAACATTTATTGCTCTACTACCAGACACTCATCATTAATTATCAACACAACACTCAGTATAATCTGTTAACGACTATATATACAACTCTATAACACCAATCACGAGATTGGCTTCTAGACGACGTGCATTCTTGTATAGTTACACAGTGATGGTCGATCGTAGTCATGTTTGAATTTTTTTTTTTTTAAAAAGACCCTCTTTCCGGCGTGCAAAATGACCGTTAGGTCAGATCTAGGAACGGTCATTTTCCATAGCCGTAGGTCTCGACCGGCATATACGGCCAACGTGGAACCCATGGTCTGTAGCGATGATGTCCATGCAAAATTTCCCTCGTAGCACAATGTATGACATATGTCCATTAGCCCAGTCCATGCAGAACAGTATGACTTTAAACCCCATTTCTTTTCATTTATCAATCTTTAACTGTCAAGGGATTTATAACGTGTTGCCAATTGTATACACAGGACTTAAGTTTTTTTTCATATCATCCGAACAACTAGAAAGAAGAGTAAAGAGGCCTTTGCCCTTCGTCCCGCATACAGTAATCATCCACAAATTTTTTTTATGGAATCAGCCTTTCAGTTTTGTGTATAATTCACATGCATTTCTGCTGCTACTTTATGAAGATAAATTCTCTAGTTATTTTTAATCGGTAGCTAAGTGGGTAAGACCCTGGCTCGCTAGCCTGGAGGTTGCGTGTTTGATCCCAGCATTGGCCCAGAAAGTTCATGGGGATTTTCCGATGTGGTTTCCCCTTGTCAGAGGTGCATGATGGAGGGTCTGATAAAGACCGCTGTCTAGTCGTTCGGATGGGACAAAAAACCGAGGTCCCGTGTACAAATTGGTGTGTACGTAAAAGATCCCTTGACAGTTGGAATTCGATATAAGAATAGGCTGTAGTGCCGCTGTCCGCGCAAAATTTCCTCATAGCACACTGTATGGCGTATGCCGTCTTCATTAGCCCAGTTCAGAGCAGAACAGTAGGACATTAAACCCCATTTCATTTCATTTCATTTTTATTTTCAGATGATAACCAAACAAATGGACTTGAGAAAAACAGAACCTCAGATAATTAGTTTAGCATTGGTTCAAATATTTAGTTATGTTACTGTTACCATGACGAGTGTTGCCATAGAGATTCAAGATGTTATGTTTGTATGCCTATTGGACATTCTCGGAAAAATGAAAGAATTGAAATTGAGAAGTGGTATAAACATGTCGTATGTGAACTGTTTAAAACTAGCCATTAATTCAATATCAGATATTGACATGAAAAAGACACTAGCTAATAAAATAAATGGTGTTTATTCAAATAAATAAAAGTTATGTAATTGCCTTAAAATAAAGCCTTATATTGTAAACATATTGTCTTTACTTATGCAAGAGCTAAATCTGCCTATTGCAGGTCTTTCTTTAGGCCTGAAATGTTATATAAACTATGAATTAGACATTTATTAACATGAAAAGACCTTAATCAGCTCTCAAATCACTGGATTTGAATCTGATCTCCTGCTCAACGCTCATTGATGATTAAATGCAAAAATGGATAATCGAGACTATGTTTTTTATCGTAATGATGATCGAGGCTAGGCCTAAAATTGAATCGCTAATACCTCAGTTCAGAGTGGAGCAAATTGACTGAAATTGTCAGCATATTCCCTTTACATTATTTAGTTTTTAACTATCTCTTTATCTAATATTCCATAATGCCCCTTTAATAAATCAAGGGGACCTCAGTGGATGAGCGGAAGTTCGAATGCCACAATGGACAGAGGAGAACCTTCAAGATATTTTAAGCCCGTTTCTCACCAGAGGAGCCGACATGAAAAGTGTGTCTAGATGTTAGGTTGGGACGAAAATCGAAGTCCACATTGGCAATTAGAATTCAAAAAAGAGTAGGTTGAAACGCCACTGTTATAGCAAAATTCTCTTTTTCTCATTGGACACATAACCACAGAAAAAAAATGGCACCCAGTAGAATCATCAGATTAAATATTTTATAAAATATGGCTTTTTCATAAACTATTACAAAACTCCTGTAATATAAAATCCATAGATATAGTAGGGGGTGGTGGTGGATGTGCGCACTGTATCATAAGGTATGTCATTGAGTCAATTGGCATGGTTTCGATTCTCCAGTTGTACGTGACGAGGAGTAGGGTCGCCTGTCCAGCCTCATGGGTTTTCTCCGGGTCCTTCGGTTTCCCCCCTCTGCTAAAGACCCCTACGCGCAAGCGTATTACTGAAATAGAATTGGACCATATGTTGGTCCCAGAATGACCTAGTTTATGTTGAGTGGATGTTAAGCCCCATTTCTCTCTCTCTCTCTCTCATAGATATGGTAGCCATGGGGGCTCAGTGATTGAGGTACTGGCTCACTACCAGGAGATCTGTGTTTTACACCCGGTGTTTGGTGTCAGTGCCGTGGGATGGAAGGCCTGGCAAGGAACAGCGTCTTGTTCCTTACATGGGATGATACGTGACGGTTCCATGTACATGTTGGCTGCAAGTAAAAAAACAGGTGACAGATGGAATTTGAAATAAGAGTAGGCCATAGCACTGCTGTCCCGGCAAAATTTCCCTCATAGTACACTGCATATCCCCATGGAAGCCATGGTGGCTAAGTAGGTAAGACGCTGGCTCGCTAGTCTGGCGGTCGCGTGTTCGTCCCCTACATTGGCCGAGAAAGTTCATCGGGATTTTCCGACGGGGTTTCCCTTGTCAGTGGTGCAAGATGGAGGGTCTGACAAGGACTGTTGTCTAGTCCTTTGGATGGGACAAAAAAAAAATGAGGTTCTGTGTATTCAATATATATTCACACCCAACACATTGTTTAATCTTAGATTGTACACTAATAGTCCACTATTGAATGTGTAAATGTCAAGCTGAATGATCGATTAGAAAATATGACGTGTTGCAAATGGTACTCCATAGAAAAGAATTTGCCCCACAAAAATATATCTAGATGACAAATTGTATTATATCAAATGCTCAAAATAATTATTATTCTAACATAAATGGTTTGATAAGATGTTTACTTGAAGAGTTAATGGATTTCAGTTGATCACTACTATATTGTTCTACTTTCAACTCATGGCCTTAGTCAATGTGGTCTGTATCCAGTTGTTCAAATTATTTCCCTTGATATTTGCAAGGTGAAGGCTGACAGCTCTCATCTCAAGTCCGTTCTGTCGATCGAGGCGAAATTCTGTGACCCTTGACACCGGCGATGGATTTTCACCTCATCGGTGCAGTTGGCAGATGATGTGATTTAATTAAAGCTTCATTTGGAAATTAAACACATATTAACACAAGGTACAATATTATAGATACACAAATACTGAGTTAAAATCAAGGAAGTTAAACTGTTAAACACATTACTACTGCTTCTCTTTGAATAATACTGTGTATTTGTTTACATTTCAGACATTTCTATTCGCCTATAAATTATCTCATATCTCACGATAAAATAAAACAAGATTTTCTCTTGTCGGAACAGGGGCTATTAGCTGATTAACCATAAAGCAACAATATTATTAAATGTGGGGGAGCTATAGGGGTAGGCAGAGTTTACATTACAATGGTATGACCGAACCATAGGCCACCCCTAAAAGGAAACCCATAATAAATGACAAAAGAAAAGGATACCCATGGCTACCAAGAGAGAAATGGGGTTTAACCTCCACTCGACACAAACTAGGGTTTTTTGGGACTAACCCATGGTTCAATTTTATTTCAATAATTCACTTGCTTGCAGGGGTCTTTATAGCAGTGGGAGGAAACCGAAGGACCCAGAGAAAACCCATGAAGTTGGACAGGCGATCGTACTCCTTATCACGTAGCCTACAACCAGGGAATCGAAACCATGGCAGTTGACTCAATGACAGACCTTATGATACAGCGCGCACGTGTTAACCATTTGGCCATCCCATGGCTACCATTGAGAACTCTAACATGTATAAATTTTAATGATGAATAGCCTAATTTTCGAAAAATATTTATGTTTTGTCTCATATATATTATTCAAGGAACATGATCTTTTGAATTAGATAATGTAATAGAGATAAATAAATTGCGATTATCTCGAAAACTTGCTGATACATGAGTTTAATTGTTATTAGATATTTTATTGTATATTATTTTGTAATTAATAAAAATATGTCGTCACCCCTAGCTGTCCATCTGCCCGTCCATACGTTAATTGTTTGTGGACAGTTTACAGGCCACAATTTTTATCCGATTTTGATGAAACTTGAAATATACCGTAGGTTTATCTCCCAAAGATTTTGGTTCATTTTGATATTTATGCATATCGGATTATCGGATAACTTCCCGGATTATGACCCCTGATTGTACGAAAAATCGCGTTTTTAGCTTGTGGTCCCTCTAGAGATCTTAACGATCTTGAGCATGTCAAACCTTAATTTCCAGGATTATGGTCCTTGAATTATGAAAAGTCGTGGTTTTCGCTTGTTGTTTCACAATTGTTGGTCACAATTTTTACTTGATTTAAAAAAATGTTTAAATTTATCACTGTTACACCATAATGACAGTTGAGTGTGAATTTCATGAAAATCTGACTGAAACTGCCTGACAAAATGGCCGATCCCCATCTGCAAATAGCTTGTGGACCCTGTAGAGGTCACAATTTTTATCTGATTTCAGTGAAACTTCCTTGATTATGGCTCCTGATTTTACGTCAAATCGTTTGTTATTTTTTAGCTAGTTCTCTGTCCATCTCTTGCAAAATGGTTTATTGATGAGTTGTATGTACAATTTGTCTTGTTAGTAAATATGTATTTTATTTATCATAGTATTGATTATCATTCATATGTATATATTGTATACTTTACTTAATAGGTTTTAGGTACAATGATATCTTGTGTTTGTCACCGGATAGTAAAGTTTTCTTGATTATTTCCAGATAAAAATAAATCTGAAATAAGGAGCTATGGTATATTTTTGAGTAAAATAATCTTTAATTACTGGTTGTTTTGCTTTTTTTCAGACAAACAATCAACTCGGTTTAGAAAGATGAAATAATTTAAACACAGTTGTTTTGAGTGTTACAAGATGGTAGTAACAGATATGGCTGCCATTGTGACTTTAAAAGATGCTCTTGGTGTTAATCTTTATAGTAAAGTGAGTGAATTAACATCAACAGATGCTGGTAAAATAACAGGAATGTTGTTAGAGTGCAAAAAAGACCAGATCCTTCGAATGTTAGAAAATAAGGATGTATTGAAATTGTATATAGAAACAGCTCAAGAAACATTGAAATCCAGGTAATAAGGCCTTATGTTGAATATAGATTAAAGATATATTATGGGAGATTAGATAAAGAGCTGGCAGTAAGCTCTATAATAGTTAAAAACTAGATATTGTAAGGGGAATTTGCTGAAAATTTCAGTCAAATTGATCCACTCTGAACCGAGAATTTAGCGATTCAATTTTAAGCCTAAACTCGATCATCATTACTAAAGTCAGTACGATAAAAAAACTTTGTCTTGATTATCCATTTTTGATTTAATCATCAATGAGCGTTGAGCAGCAGATGGGATTCTAATCCAGTATTGCAGGCTAGCGATGACATCAAGAGTTGATAATATCTAGATAAGTTAATTAATGTCTAATTAGTAATTTAGATAACATTTCAAACCCAAAGAAAACCCTGCAATAGGCAGAGAAATGGGGTATAACGTCCACTCCACCCGACACAAACTAGGTAATTTCGGGACCAACATATGGTTTTTAATTTTATTTCAATGGTTAGCGTGTGGGCATTGTATCATAAGGTCTGTCATTGTGTCAACTGGTGTGGTTTCAATTTCCCAGTTGTACGTGACAAGGACTAGGGTCGCCTGTCCAAACTCGTGGGTTTTCCCCGGGTCCTCCGGTTTCCTCACACTGCTAAATACCCCTACACTCAAGCAAATTATTGAAATAAAATTGAACCATATGTTAGTCCCCAAATGACCTCGTTTATATCGAGTGGATTTTAAACCCCATTTCTCACCCCCTTTATTTGAATTTTACAAATAATTTATATTTATTTAAAGTTATGATAATGATGGTATGAAGGATGATAATATAAACATTTATTTAATTATTACATATTATATTTATTTAAAGTTGTGATAATAATGGTATGATAGATGATAATAATGGTATAATGGATGATGGTATAAAAGATCCAGATGATAATAAAAGTACAAGTAGTAATGAATCTTTAGCTGAAGAACTTTATGATAAAATTACTAATATTGTTGATTGTGATTTAATGGCTGCCAAAATAACTGGTAAGATACAGTTTATGTAAATGGATATTGCCCTGTTTTACAGCTGTATTTAATGAGCTAAAAGCTGAACTATCAAAGCCTAAAACAGTATTTATATATAATCAATAGGCCTACCAGCAAGCATTATAGCCTAAGGCAGTGGTTCTCAACCCTTTTTTTGCCAATGGCACACATTGGAACACATGAAAAATAGCGGCGCACCTGGCTAAATATATATAAAAGATTATTGAATTTTGCAAAATAAAAACATTGTAAGTCAGACAGCATACAACCGTAGACAGAGACTAGTCATAGACACATAGAATGGCTCAAAATAAATAAATAAAAATACAGCTATGAACTTATCAGTAGACACCAGTGAATACTCAATTGGGATCACATGGTTTTCTTAGTGTGCCGTTCAAAATTTCGCGGCACACTTACTTACTTAGGAAAATCTTGTGGCACACAGGTGTGTCGTGGCATACTGGTTGAGAAACACATAGATAACATATAAATAATCGAGACAACTTTACTCATGGAACTTGTCTAGTTTCTTGTGATATAGCCACGATTGTCCAGACATTGTCTATTTCAAAGATGTCCATTAACATGACCATAATTAATTCTTAAAGGGACAGCCTCCCCACCCTCTGCAATACGAATCTTTCATGAAATAAAATATTAAATAGGGTTTAAGACTAATAAAGATGGGCAAACACCATGCTGTGTGCTAAGGGGGAAATATATTACCTGGATAGCGGTGCTACAGCGGGTTCTTTGACATGTACGGCAAAGGTTACACAGAAATTTGGTTTATTGTCACATCCGAACGACTAGATGTCCTGTGTGTTGCACCACTGACACCACACCAGAATATCATAATGAACTTTGTCGGCCAACGCCGTGAACAAATCTGAGACTTCCTGATTAATGAACGAGGGACTTACTCACTTGACCACCATGACTCCCTTCATCAATCAGAGGTAAGTTTTTTAACTACCCTGAAGGAGGTTGTAGTTTTCCTTGAGTATTAAATACAGTCGGTATTTTATTTTTACAGGGATGTTGTTAGATCTAGATTCTAGTAAACTGAATGATTTGATGACATCAGAAGAAGAATTAAAATTAGCTGTAGAGAAAGCAAGAACTGTTTTATTAGAAACTAAATCTGAAGAATTCAACCCACATGAAGATATAGCAGATGAGATTTATACAAATGTCGAGAAAAAATACCCTGAGTTAGCACCACAAATAACAGGTACTTACAATACCATATCCTGGTTTTACGTGACAAGGAGTAGGGTCGCCTGTCCAGCCTCTTGGGTTTTTTGTCCGGGTCCTATGGTTTCCTCCCACTGCTAAAGATCCCTACGCGCAAGCGAGTTACTGAAATAAAATTAATTAAACCACATGTTAGTCCCGAAATGACCTAGTTTGTGTCAAGTGGAGGCTAATCCCCACTTCTCTCTCTCTCAATACCATATTCTATACGGTCCATGTCCTGGGGCCTGTTTCACGAAATCTTAACTAAAGATAAAATCAAAATTTTAGCAGATATGTTAATTTTTATTGGCTAAGCACTAAAATCAATCTAATATTATCCAATCAAATTACTAAAATTTGGATTTTATCTTAGTTAAAAATTTCGTGAAACAGGCCCCTTAACATTATTGATGGATAATTTGTCAACCATCGAATGATTGATCGTCCAAGGACAGATCTTTCACTTCAAAATTTAGGAGGATGGTCAATTTTTGATGTATTTTATTCACCTCAAGATTGACAAAATATTTTTTTCAAATTTTTTATGTATATTTTAAGTTCCTTTACACAAAAACTGTGAATCCAAATGCCTTTTTTGTGTTTTCGGGTGATATAGAGAGAGAGAGAGAAATGGGGTTTAACGTCCACTCGACACAAACTAGGTCATTTCAGGACTAACATATGGTTTAATTTTATTTACATAATTCGCTTGCGCGTAGGGGTCTTTAGCAGTGGGAGGAAACCGGAGGACCCGGAGAAAACCCACGAGGTTGGACAGGCAACCCTACTCCTTGCCACGTACAACCGGGGAATCGAAACCACGCCGGTCGACTCAATGACAGACTTTATGATACCATTCAGCCATCCAACCCCCCTTCCGGTGATATACTTTGAATTGACTGATGGTTAAATTCTGCAACCAGTCAATATCACTTCTGTCAGTGGTGCAGGATGGTGGGCCTAACAAGAAACAGTGTTTAGTTGTTTGCATGGAATGAAAAACCGAGGTCCCATGTACCCTTTAGTGTGCTCATAAAAGAACCCTTGACAGTTGGGATTTGAAATAAAAGTAGATCATAGCTCCGCTGCCAGAGCAAAATTTCCCTCTTAGCACACTGCATGGAGTTTTAGTATATATAGTACAGAAATTTAGGAGGCTAAGCCCCATTCATTTTATTTGTATAGACGTACTGTCATATAGTAATGCTACCTTTCATGGAAGAGTTCCTTCCCCTTTGTTCTTTATTGGAGTCTTCAGGAGTTATCTCCCATATGTGATACTTAGAGAGGTTGAACAAAACATGGCCTATCTCACATGTGTTATTTAGATTTAATACACTTTAATCCATGCCATCCATGGTGAACCAGAGAACTACTCCCGCAGAGCATGGTGGAGATGGCATGGATTAAAGTTTATTAAATCTAAAAACCACATGTGAGATAGGCCATGTTTTATTCAACCTCTCTAAGTATCAAAGATTCCGAAGACTCCATTAAAGAACAAAGGGGAGGAAACTCTTCCATGAAAAGTGGCATTACTGTATGACAGTACTGTCTGAATATTTCCAAACAAGGCAATTTAAATATCATCCCATCTTGTATATTTTAGGAATGTTGCTGGAGTTAGATACAGACATTTTAAAGGACTTGTTAACCACAACCAAAGAATTAGACAATCGTATAGAAGAAGCCTTTAATGTGTTATCTAAATCAGTTTCTTGACAGGGCTGCTCAAATATTAAATATAGAACACACTATATTTATATCTTCCAAATACTTCCATATATGTATTTAGAAATATATTTAAATTCCATTCAATATAAGCTCAAACTGAAATGGCCTTTTTGTTAACACTGTTAAAAAGCAGTTTTTTTTTCAGAGTTATGCCCCTTTGTGAAAAAACGTAGGGGGACACTCGATTGAACGTTCTGTAATTGAATTCTCTCAATCCCAAAAATAGTGACAATCAAATGAAAAGCGCACACACCAACTGTATAAGGAAATATCTCAACCAACCATGGCAGCTGAAATGTAGGCCTATTTGTTGTGTTTACCTCCATTGTTGGGACTGACAGAACTGTGACAGGACTGAATTCCGCCTCACTTGATTGCAATACTGTCGATTTGGGACGTTTCAGACTGACAATAAAACATCTGCCTTGTTGATAAAACTAATCTTCTGACAAGACAAACTACACCAATATTGCCAAAAATAAACAACAAATTTAAATCTGATTAAAACACAGATCCTATTTCGTTTCGTTTTTTCATAGTTCAAAATTTGGTTTTACTTGTCTTTACTACACTAGGATCTGGAAGAGTTGTTATATAGCAGACGTTCTAGTTGATGTGAGGAATTAGCCAAAGAAACGGTCTGTTACAGCGAGTTTCTGGCGTGAGATGCACTGAACTGTGGGTAAATCCATAGAAACTGCTGATTGATTAATCAATGTCATAGTGTCAAGAGCCGCCCGTATGACCCCTGACGCGACCTCTCAGTACAACTAGTCAGATCTTCATGTAGAAGAGGCGATCGAAAGTATAAAAAAACAAAAAAAATATAGATCTGGGCCCTTATTCACGAAAACTTAAACTAAGTTACAACCGAAATTTTAAGAAATACTGCAACTTCATTGGATATATGCAGTATTTCTTAAAATTTCGATTGTATCTTAGTTTAAGTTTTCGCGAATAAGGGCCCTGTCGAAAGATCTTGTCTTTTGTTGTGTTAACAATTGTTTTGATTTTCTTCGACATAACTTGATTAATTCTATATATGCCAAACAAGAGGGGTGATGGCTATAAACAATCTATATTTTATTGGGTTAAATATTTAACTTGGGCACAATTAGGAACATTTTTTTAAAGGTTTTTGACTAAACTAATTCAGCTTACTAAAGATACATTATGGGAGATTAGATAACGAGTTGGCAGTTCTCACTATAATAGTTAAAAACTACATAATGTAAAGGCAACTTGCTGAAAATTTCAGTCAAATTGATCCACTATAAACCGAGAACCAAGCGGATGAAAGTTCCGCTTAGCCTCGATCATCATTACTGAAGTCGATAAGACAAAACTAAGTCTTGATTATCCATTTAATCGTTAATCACGAAGGAAAGTTTTGCAGCAAATCAGACTGTAATCCAACAAATATCGCAGGCAAGCCTTGACATCGAGAGCTGATTATGGTCTGGATAAGTTAATTAATGTCCAATTAATAGTTTTTATAACATTTCAGGCCTAAAGAAAGACCTACAAAGAGCCGATTTTGCTCTTGCATAATGTATGTTTAAGTTAGCAGCCTTGTAATATTTTTTGACCCATCTTGTGATTAAACTAGTAATATATAAATGTGATTTACAATGATCTTCGGAGCCATATGGTGTATAATTAAGTCTTGTATTATGTATTAAATTTATTCATTTATTTGAATTTCAACTATTTTTAATGTTTTGTTTATTGTTATCTACTATTTTGTATGTTTGTCTCTTTTTCATCATCCAGTTTATCAATCTTTTCGTGAAAAATATATTAATTTATCTTACAGCAATTGGGAACATTTTTTTTAAGGTTATTGGAATCAAGTTTATGTCGATTCTGTTAGTTTTATAGGGTTCTTATTCCTTAATTTATTATTTGTAAGCCTTTACAGCTACCCTGGTATATATTATTTATATGGTCTATCCAATATTCCAGAATTCAGAATAACATATTGGAGAATTATTTAACCATAAAATATTATATATTAAAATTGAAACTGTTCTTGTTATGATTTAACAGCTATTTTAATGGGGCTAAATCGCTTATATTTGGGACCTAGAAATTGACACAAATGAGTGGCAATGCATATAATAATGTAATATGAATGTATTTAAACTGATTTACATTCAATTGTTTCTGTTTTTACTGTAATTTCTAATCAGTTATGTTCAGCAAAATACGCCAGAGGTCTCAATTGAATGGCTATTTTTAGCGTCTGGTTATTCCAGTGTACACCGATAATATTTATTGTGCATGCTTTCCAGATAAGAATATGACGTCATCGTTTGACATGACTTGTAGAATATGCCTAGCCGCATTTTTCGAGTCGCTTTTGACAAATAGCACTGAAACGCATTATGGTCAGGGGCGTAAATAGGGGGGGGGGGGTACCCAGGAAGAAAAATAGTTTGTGTTGCAAAATAAGAGCAGTCGGTATCAAAATATGTGCTCACTGCATACTTGTTTGAAATAATGTTGTGTATTACTCTTATTCTGTTGTGAGTATGTTGGTCTAAGAACAAAATTTCCCCAGAGAGAAAAATAGTCGGTCTCAAAGTAAGTGCAGTCACTGCAGTCGGTCTCAAAATTATGCATCAGGGACTTAATGAATTAATGAGGTAAACAAACAATGCCAGAATCGATCCCAAATACTAAGTATTTGCGTGAATCTGTGAGCCTAAATTGCATACGTCACACAAAACTATAGTATAAAATAACCATTTCTCTCTCTATAATACATCAAAAGTATGAAGGTTTCTAAAAGTTAATAAACTTTACTAGTATAACACAACTTGTTATAACACATCAAATGTATACAGGTTTCTAAAGGTTAATAAACTTTATTAATATAAACACAACTTAACACAGTCTACAATTTTTATGGATACACAATTATTGAGGATTGGGAAACAGGCAAAGCCTATATAGGCCTAATTCCTCTCCCCAAAATTTTAACATGTAAATCCGTTCGTAAATAGACAAAAAAATTATGTACACTATTTACAATATAATAATAAAATAAAACCAAGTACGAACAATCTAACCATTTGACAAAATTCGAAGTCCTAAAAAAATCGGTATAGGCAAAATAGTGTAATCAGCAATACCATAGAAATCATGTATATTCACTGTGATATAACCAGCATATTAAACAATGTATATTCTGATCATTGTTCACCCGACTTGGGAGATAGATGCCAGTTCGGGAGATTCGGGTGTTTCCGGAGTCCAATTTGGCCGCTTTATATAAATGAGAATTTGGGGGAATACTAACCCGAACCCTAACCCTTTTTAGAAGACTAAAAGGATAAGGATTAGGGTTAGTATTCCCCAAAATACTCATTTATATAAAGCGGCCATTTTGAAATCCGGAATAGACCCAAACCTCCCCAACCGGCCTACAATTATTAGCATCTACCTTGTTCATTGACCCAAAGTAAGTCGGTCTTGTACCAAATCATCCATTGAAGGCAGCATACAATACAAACATAATTGACGAGATTACTTGATATAGTATAGTTTGGAATTCATAAACATAACAGCATGGACCGTATTATAAGGTCCATGATAACAGACTTTAAATTTTGTGCACCGTTACGGTTGTTTTCACTACTTGATAATACGTTGACTCTTGGGGGTTGGATGGCCGAACGTGCGCGCTGTATCATAAGGCCTGTCATTAAGTCAACTGGCATGGTTTCGAATTCCCGGTTGTAAGGAGTAGGGTCGCCTGTCCAACCTCGTGGGTTTTCTCCGGGTCCTCCGGTTTCCTCCCACTGCTAAAGACCCCTACGCGCAAGCGAATTATTGAAATAAAATTAAACCATATGTTAGTCCCGAAATGACCTAGTTTGTGAAGGCAGTCATATCTTTTACAGAGAAATTAGAAGAGTTTCGTAATACTCTGTGAAACATATTGCTGATCAGATCCGCGTGATATAACCTTTAAAATATTCGCCATGTTTGTTACCGCCGCCCCTGGGTCGCACGTGACTAAATAACCGAATCGCAGTGAGGCGCAGACTCAAAGTAGTCGTATGCGCACCCATGTCGCTTGCGAATGGGACAACTAATTGTCTACCGGAGTAGAACATGTGCGACTCCGAGAAGCCGTCCGACTTAATTACACCAGTCACGACTGATCAGTTCCACTTATCATAAACCAGTCGTCGATTTCGAGTCGCCGTCAGTTTTGTCGTGTCGTGAGGCGACATAAGCTAGGCTTAAGCCAAGGCTTTCGCGGAGTAGGCTACTGCCAAAAAAGGGAGATTATGATATTGTTGAAAACCAATGACATTTATATCGTTTAAGGCACCAAATCATCAACTCTATTAATAGTCGTGTTTATCTTTTCCCAAAACAATTCCAAATTTTCTTCATCCCATTTAATATAATTATTAACAGCTAGTATTTTATGTATGGTTTTTGTTACGTTCCGGGGAGCGAGCTCCTTTAAAACAACTACTATCATTAAGTCGCGTTTTTCAATGATGTACTTCTCATAGGCTAACCCTGCTTCAAACTCGCAAAACCCATCTTCAGCATATCTATCAGATATACATAACAAGGCCTTGCGGCTTCTATCCATGTTTATAATTATCTGTTCAATTTTATTGCCCTGTCCATCTCTTTGCGGAATATAAAGACGGAGACCCATATCTTTCTCTAATTTATTTACAATTTCATCGAAGATAAAATCATCAAAATCGCCATCTGAACAACTAAGATAAACATCGTATTGATAATTTATCCCTTCGTTTAGTAATCTTCGGAATCGAATTTGGTGAAATCGTGCCATATATATTAGATAACGTAAACACCAACGATAACGATACACGATCGAAATGGTTAATAACAATAGAAGAAATGTCACCGAAACATAAATAATGCCCAAAGAAATCTGACTTGACAATGTACATATACGTTCAGAAATAAACGATTTTGTGATTTCATATTTATGTTGTTCTTTGTCTGGAGCGTTGCATTTGTACCGCGAAGGAAAATGTCGAAAAATACGTGAGTTATTTTTCACGCGAAGAAATCTAATAAACCATAGTAAGTCACACGAACATGAATACGGATTATTTGATAAATCCAACCATTGCATATTTTTGAGTATTTGCTCAGAGAATGTGATTTTGCTTATGCGAGATATATGGTTACCACTCATGTCCAGATTTTTTAAGGATTTTAAGTTATCAAAGAACCCATCCGGTATTTGAGTAATTTCATTATAAGCGAGGTAAATTACATTTAATTTCTTCATTTGTTTTGGAATAATTTTAGGAATGAATCGTAACCGGTTATTCGTTAGAGATAATTTCTTTATCTTGGTTAGCGATTTAAATAGCTCCTCAAACATTTCTTCGGTGGTATTTGTAAAATAATTTGATGATATAATCAAAGTCCTCAAATTGGTACAATGGTTAAATGCACCCAAGCTCAAACTCTTATTATCAAATCTAATTTTGTTGTTTCGGAAAGAAAGATGCCGAAGACTGTGGCTGCTGAAAGCATGTGGTTTAACACGCAGTTGTCCAGTACTGTATATAAAGCCAATAGACATATACTGAATATTCGGTAGGCTTGAGATAATATTACTCTCTATGATAATTAGTGGATTTTCATTTATAGAAAACTTGATCAAGGCTTTCATGCAACTTAATTGCCCTGGGCGAAGATTGTTTATATAATTGTTGTCTAAATTTAAATCAGTGAGTTTTGGGAACATCGCTGATCCGTTAACACAAATATCCGGAAATTGTGTCAGCCTATTATCAATCAGCCTAAAGTTTTCTATGGAAGCTGAATATTGTAGTTTTACCGTTGTCACTTTACAGCGCACGATGGTTACAGACTGTAATTTTTTGAAAGAAGAAACAATGCTGTGATTGTACACTATAATGTTCATCTCTTGGATTTTAAAAAAATTAAGATTAGACTTAGCCATACATTTAGAAAAATGTAATGAATATAAATCTACCAGAGGGAGATTTATTAATATGATACCCGTTAATTGTTTTGTAACACTAGACAAACAGTTCATCAAAGAGAATGTATTTAACCCTTCATGGCATATAATCAGCGTGCGCAGATGTAGCAGAGAACTGAATGATCTGGGTTCACAAGACATAATGGAATTTGACTTTAGTCCAAGACGGACCAGTTTCAAATCAGTTAAGTTGTTGAAAGTGTTGTCCGTTATCTTTGGTAGGTAATTACCAGTGTAATTCAGGTTCGTAATATCTAGTTTGAAATCTGGAACAAAAGTCAGACGGCGACCACGATTTAAGCAAAGGGCATAGTTTCCCTGGCATGTACACATTTCGTCACCGCATATTTTCCCGGGGTGATGGACTTGAACTCCAAACAATTCATTGTCACCAGCGGTATTAAAAGAAATGTGCATAGAAACATAGAAGACACATACTTTGTACAGTACTTTTAATACATCCATGGCTTATTATAAATATAGTTGGTTATTCTGAAATGAGAAACAAATAATTATAGGTAGGCCTAGTTCTGGTAGTTGGACGCTATATGTTCAGAACTACAGTTTTGTTGGTAATATAAGGGATGGTCGTATTCTCATCACCACTGCTTGCATCATCTGTTCAGGATTTCTTTAGAATATCGACATATTTATTTGGGTCCCCCATCCAAATTCATTTTTTATTGAAGATCACAAACACGACGCCCCTACCACATTGCAGGCAAGGTTTTTCAGGGCAGGTAATCGCTTGACAAGGGTAACACTTGCGGGGATGACAAGGAACACGTGTTTAGTCGTTCGGATGGGACGAAAAACCGAGGTCCATTCATTTCTTTACAAATAAGAATTGCTATGGCACATGTCTCTTAAATATTGTTTTAAAAAACCGATATAAGTACAATACCGAAAACACAATTGTCTCTAAAATTAAAAAAAAAATAACGAAATAAGTACAAAAGTTAAAACTCACTTAACTGTTAGTAATATTGTCCGATCTTCATACCAGACAAGATATAATTATTCGCTAACGTGGTAATGACTTCGAATTAAATTCTATCAAATGACATCCTCTTTGTTTCTTGTATATGTTTTATTACTATGTAATACATGGTTTCTAAAAGGAAATATGACAATTAATATCACACATCGCGTGTTGTTACTTCCCTGCTTTTGACCTTCGCCTTTCTGCTCTCCACGCCCTTTAAACACAATAACTCTACTTTTAATTGAGATAGATTGTTCAAACTTGGTGTAGATGTTTTGCGATGAATGTCTCACTGGTCTGAGCATATCTGTATTGGCTGAGCAGAGATTAGCAGTTTCCTTGTTCGTAATTCATTTCGGAACGAGGAAGACCTATGATCGTTCCTGCCCTCTGCAGTATGAAAATACTGCTCTTTTATCCTCCCCTTCTCTGTTCTGAGTCTATTTTTGAGGACTTTGTCCGTAGACACCGTTCCGAAAGGAACTAAATTGATCAATGCTTTGAAACACGGTAACGTCTGTTCGAGTGTGGGTGCATATAGGCGTAAGGGTGGGTGTGGGGCAATTTCAGTTATAGGGGTGTAGGATAGAAGGCCTATAGAAAGGAACAGTGTCTAGTTGCTTGTATGGGATAGTTAACCAAGATCCCGTGTAGGCCTACATGTTGACTGCACTTTAAAGAACCCGTGACGGTTGGAATTTCAAATAAATGTAGCACAGCTGTCTTGGAGAAATTTCCCTCACGCCATAGTCACTGCGTAAGTAGGACCTTTAAACACTATTTCAATTCATGTTACAATGAACTTTAGTACTTTGTCTCTATAGTTATTAATTCTACAGAAACATTCATAAACTTTTACCATCCTGCTTTTTGCAGAAATATCAACATTTTCTGGTCTAAATTTAACATTCCACTCAATCACGGCTCACGGAGAGAAGTTTACCGTTCTCTGGGAAAACTCCCCGGCCAGTCATCAGGCCACAGATCACTAATTGTTTCCCCATTGACTTTAATGTTAATTCTCGTCTCTTAGACCGGCTCTAACTTTTTCCCAAATTTTCGTTGGGTAGAACGCTTTCTGCCACTGATGGAGCAACATGTGGCAAACTCTTGTCCAAAAGCATGTATGAGGTTCACCATGAAAAACTTGAGATACACAAGCTGGAAGTAGAGACAAATAAACATACAATTTGCGGCCCTACATTTCAACGTAACCAACCTCACAATTCTAGTATCCTTCCGCCTCAAAATCATGAATATTCACCAAAACCTGGCAGAAAATGTATTTTCAAACCCTTTTTTTCGATTCTACACCAAAAAGTCAACAAAAATCGCCATGCAAAAGGGGGAAAGGGAGAGGGGGAGAGACTAAAAATAACTTTGGCCCTTGTTTCGTCACGTAGAAATATTTGGTGATCTGTGTCCATCAGTCTTATTTTGGTTTCTTAGCTAGTAAAATTATCCGCCCTTGATATTTGTGCTATTTTTATCGACCAATCAAAAAATTCCATAAATAGAAAGCGATAGGCTGAAGGAAAGTAACTTGCATTATATTGCAACTACGAGAAAGAGAGAGAGAGAGAGAGATATCACCTCGATGGAAGCAAGAGAGAGAGGGGGGCGGGGGGAGAGAGAGAGAGAGGGCGAGAGTTTAACGTCCACTTGACACAAACTAGGTAATTTCGGGACTAACATATGGTTCACTTCAGGGGTAGAGTAGAGTGGAACGATACCTGTCCAGTCCCATGGGCTTTCAACAGTTTCCTATCATTGATAAACACCCCAACGTTCAAGCTTAATGCACAATAAATATGTACTCAGATAATTTAACATTTAATTAAAGATGCATTATGTAAGATTTAGATTAACAGCTAGCTGTTCTTGTTATAATAGTTCCTAAATAGATGAATCAAAATTGATATATTGAAAATTTAATTCAAATTACTTTATTCTGAGCAGTGTTATCACTGTTTGAAGTTTCGACATAGATTGTTTATTATTGTAGCAACAGTAGGCGTACCTATTTTTTTTTTATTAGGTACAAATTTGAATATTTTGTTGACACATGATTTTTAATTGTGGTCTGAAACCGCCTACTTAAATAATGGTAAGAGTTATGCCCCTTTATTTTCGGTAAAAATGTCCGACAAGAAAATTTTGGAATCCCATCACTGCCCACAAGTTTAACAAAATATGTTGCTCGATTACTTCCTTTATGTAAATTAATTTGCAAGGTTGACATATCTCCGGGCATATTTGATTGCCAAGAATCTAACCCTATATTCTCTACCCAGATTCAGGTCACAAACAATCTGACAGACATGCTTTCATAAATTCTTAAAAAAACAAAACAGACTTCATATATATACTTTGAATTAGCCGAAATCCAGCCATTTTATTAACGTTATTTCATGTAATAGACACAATGGATGCTAGCAAGAAATAGTTTATCCTACGTTTTTATTTATATAAAACTCTTTACTTATATCACATGACTGACTACATTATATAATAATATATATATACACACAAATAATCTTAGTCACATGGAATGCAGGAAATAAGCTGAAGAAAAGAACTGGAAGAACATGACTGTACAATAATTTACAAGATATATAGAGATTATCCAGTCTTTAATATTTATATACATTTTGGTATAATTGCTTTACCTTTATTGTGTGAAAAAGAAAACGGAAAAAGTCCTTTTTTTTTTTATAAACTTTTCCGTTGAAGCAAGTGATGAACTACTTTGATTGATATAATATATATATTACGTATGTATAAAAATACATTTTATTCTTCTAATTTACGTAGATATAAAAATCTAATTTATTTCATTTAATATAACACGTCATATTATTTATAATACAACTAGTAGAATATAACAACTCAGTGACTATTACACATATCTAATAACACAACGAACACAAAATATTGTACAAAAATACAAATTTCTTTAACCAGTATGACAATATCGAATTCAGCCATTTCATTTTATTTATTTACATAAGTCTCCATATTTCATTTTACTGACTGATATAATAGCCTGTTCAATTTATTTTATCACAATGACGGCATGAAATGTAAGTAGCACTTTTTTGGTATTATTTGGAATATTGCCCACTATACAAATAACTACATTTAGCTAATATTTCTATGGACTAACTTAAATGCAATTTCACTGGAACCACAGTTTCAATATTTTTAGGTTCAGATTTAGGGGGCTCTATTACTACAAGCTTATCCTTCAACAGACTGACATAATAATAAGGTATTTCATTTTAAAGATACATTATGTAAGATTTAGATAAAGATCTGACCATTCTTGCTATAATGGATAATGTAAAATGAAAATATTGAAAATTTCATTCAAATTACTTCATTCTGAGCTAAGTTATCACTGTTTGTAGTTTTGACAAGACGTGTGCATAGTGGTAAGCAGGGCACTGGTATATTCAAGACTTAGCCTCGCTTTCACATTTTTAAATTAAATTCTTAAATGGGAAACCATTCTGATCTAGTTAAAATCTTGAGTATCCGATGCCATCGAGAGTTGATTATGGTCTTGTTTTGTTAATAAATGTCTAATTAACATTTTATATAATATTTCAGGCCTAAAGAAAGACCTACAATGGGCAGATTTAGCTCTTGCATAATGTATGTTTAAATATATTTCCAAAACAGCAGATCAATCTGTTTTCTTCACATATACGATGTTTGATCATTGTTGACAAGTTAAAGGCTGAATATTTTAAATTTTGCATACAACACTTTAAATTTCAAAAAATATTCAGATCTGATTTTAAGTGTCTAATACACAAATCAATCATTTTCTTCTTTGTAAACTGCTAGAAAATTCCAAGGGCAATATTCATATTTATGTGGATGGTGACAAAATAATAAACGATAAATATCTACTAATCGTAAACCTAGATCTAGGGTTGGGCGATAATGAAAAAAAAATATTGTGATAATAATTTATCAAATATCACGATAACCTATATTATCGTGATAATTTATACAAGTGTCTTAAGTAGTCAAATTTTGAATACTTGGGCAGAAAATTGAGATGTAGGGTTGGGTGATAATATCGCGATAATAATTTATCAAATATCAAGATAATTGATAATATCGTAATAATTTATACAAGTGTCTTAAGTACTCAAAGTTTGAATACTTGGGCAGAAAATCGTTGCTTGATGTCAAATTATTGTTGCTAAGGTCGGTAGACGCCATGATGGAATTTACCCTATACAAGCTGATGAAATTAATTCTATCAATAGGTGATGAAAATCATATGTATTATTATCAATATTGGAACACAATAATTATCATATTGCGATAATTTTGGTTATCACGATACACCTGTTTTTCGATATATTTAAACGAGTCCGATATGATAAAATCATGATATACCGAAAAACAGGTATATATCCCCCAACACTACCTAGATCCGCACCTCTATACATATAGGCTATTAACAACCAATCAGATGTTATATTACTATGAAAATCCATTATTAAAGGATTCAAGTCTCTCGTGATATATAAATCAGTTAATATAGCTATCACTTGTATTACTTTCAAACATATAAATTCTAGTAATATCAACCCAAAAAATTGATTTTTAGAACACTTTTAACTCACACTACAACCACAGACACAGCACATACCTATCTCCTTATACGGAGCAGCTTTTTAGTTTTATTAATGAGATTGTCGATAAAACACCTCCAATTGATGAGCACTTTTATATTTTCAATTTCACTATTATTGTGAGGTATATATTTAGCACAAATATGGTCATTCAAAGTCATATGACACATCACATGATATCAGCACCAATCAGCAATGTACGTGAAATCGTTAAATAATGTTTGATCGTTAGCAGTAAGCCCTCTACGATCTTTAGGTGGCGTTAACACAGGTCTCTCCGCGGTAAATTCTTCATCAAAATTACTCACATCCTCAGAATTTTTCTGAAAATATAAAATGAGAAAATTCTAAATATTTTTTTCAATAATCACCAGATGAAATTGGTCCAGCATGATACCATTTTAAAAGAAATCAATATTCTCCAATGGCTTGATTAATGATTTACGAACTTACCACAGTAGGAACAAAAGGTGGCTTCACTTTTTTCATAAGTAAGTCATCCCATTTCAAATTCTGAAAGAGAGATAAGCATATGATTATGTTCAGAAGATTTCAGCAGTTTATTTAAGGCTTTTTTTTCGACTTGCCAAATCGATTTGAATTTAGTGGAGATGTCATGTGACAGTATAGTCAATTTCAAAGTACTTTGGCGAGTTCGTTAAATGCTCCGATTTGCTGTAAACAATTGTTGTGGCTGGACACAGTTGAAAAAAACGCGTGATCACCCGATCAAATCGCACCCTGAAGTGATTTGGCGATTTGATGTAATCGCTTCGGAAATCGGTGTCGATAAATTCGTTGATTAGGGTAACCAATTTGAATTAGATGGACGTAAAAGATGAAAATTTGATTGAATGCAAATCACTTTGGCTAATCAGTGGTCGATAAAAACGCCTTATGTGTGTGCAACACCTGTAAACTGACTTACAGTTTCAAGAAACCAAATCATTACCACTGTTATTTTTGATGTATGAGTGTCTATGGTGCTGGTCCAAGGTTCATTCAAGGCGGGAGCTACGGTGGGTAAGATGCTGGCTCGCTTGTCAGTGGTGCAGGACGGAGGGCCTGTTGAGGACAGCTTTCTAGTCATTTGGATGGGACAAAAAAACGATATAAGAGTAGGCGATAGTACCGATGCCCGGGCTAAATTTCCCTCATGGCACACAGTATGGTGTATGCCTGTCTTCATTAGCTAAGTCAGAGCAGAACAGTAGGATGTTAAACCCCACTTCATTTCATTAAGTTCAAGGTGTTGCCTAAAAAATTTCCTCAGAGTTTTCCAGCCCAAGAAGGAAAATTCCCTATTCATTTGGATGGGAAGAAAAAGTGAGACCCTCTAATAATAATTGTTCTTATAGCACAGTGCATCCTGTGTGTCCGTCAGTTAGACGTTAAACCCCTTATTTTATATCCTAAGTACTATCTGATAAGCTAAGGATTAAATAACGAGACATTCTACGGAAAATTTGGAAGTTATTTTCTGAATAATTCAAATATTTACCCTAAAAAAGGCTTGTTTTTTGACATCTTCAGCATCTCTTTCACTAGAACCCAATCTTCTATCTGGATTCCTTCTCAATAACTGCAAAACAAATTATATCAATTCTAAATATGTCCATTTAAATAGTGTCATCTATTGTATCAACACTTACCTTCATCCAGGGTTTCATGTAAACCAAAACCATGAAAGGAGGAAATAGTTTGAATTTCTGTAAGACAGGGCATAAGATGGACTTTCTCATGGTTGGAGTCGGACAGGAATAAACAAGGGGAGTACACACTAACATGTAATCAGTTTATTAACTGTAAGTGTAAGGAGCTAAAAAATCTTCTGGATTGTCAACAACAGAGCTCTTAATCAGCTGGTTATAGCTGTCTACAGCATTTGATGGTTAAAATGGTACTTTTAATCCTTCAAGAACTTGAAGCTGATGGCAATTGAAACAATACCCTCAGTTCCCAGGAAAATGTAGCTTAGAAAATATATTATAAGATCAAATTTGAGTGGAGTGTGATTTTTTTTATTTTTTATAAAGTGTACTAGCTTCACTACACAAAACGTAGCACAAAGTAGGACCACTGCTAATTTAACATGGGGAGAGAGAGAAAAGTGGTTTAACGTCCACTTGACAAAAACAAGGTATTTTGGTACTAAGACATGGTTCAATTTTATTTCAATAATTTGCTTGCATGCAGGGGTATTTAGCAGTGGAACGAAGCCGGAGGACTCGGAGAAAACCCTTGAGGTTTGACAGGCAATATAACTCGGAAGGGAAAGCTTGCCTTTGACTGGGGAAAGATTGACCACTTAACACCCCTGCTTCACCTCAACATTTAGTTCTTGTATTAAACCATCATTCATCCACTTGAACTTACCCGTCTCATGATAGCTATGGCTTCTGTTGATAGAAAACGTGGATATCGTACTTCTTCATTAACAATACTATCAAATACTTCTTCTTCATCATCACCAGGAAATGGACTCTATAATATCAAAATAATCTTATAATACAATACCCACATAGTAAATAATAAGTTGATTTATTATAATCTTATAATACAATACCCACATAGTAAATACTATCTTAGGGTTTAATGTCCACTCGACACAAACTAGGTCCTTTCGGAACTAACATATGGTTCAATTTTATTTCAATAATTTGCTTGTCAGTGGGGGGGGTCTTTAGCAGTGGGAAGAAACTGGAGGAAACCCATGAGGTTGGACAGGCTACCTTACACTCCTTGTCACGTACAACCCAGGAATCGAAACCATGTCAGTTGGCTCAATGACAGACCTTATATTACAGCGCGCACATGCTAACTAACCATTCAGCCACACACCCCTCCCCCGCAACACACATAATAGGACAAAGATGTTTATATTTGCTTGAGTTACTTCCCTTTTCTATCAACAGACCCAGAAATTTTTTTTAACATGTCATAATTATTTTTAATTTCTCTTTAAATAAATGCAGGTCAGAGAAATATGATATTATTTATAAATGGCCTAAAGTTGGTCAAATCTGCAACAATGGAATAAATTTTGGTTTTAAATTAGCTCCACTAACAATGCTTCTTGAAACGTGTGAGGTATATATTTCTGTTCTGGTCTTACATAGAAGATCAAGTACCTAGACACAGCTGAGATTTTGTTATTAACACTGAGACAAATAAATCTGAACCATGCTTTGATCTTTTTTTAGATCAAAGGAATTACATATATATATTGTCTGACAAATAAATAATTAAACAAGATTTGATATCTTCAGTCACTATCTCATCTTATTAAATCTCTATAAAAAAACAGACAGTCTTTGATCTTGTTCCAATAAAATCTCAAGTAGTTATCAATCAGTTCTTATGAAATGAAATGGGGTTTAACGTCCTACTGTTTTGCTCCGAACTGGGCTAATGAAGACGGGCATACACCATACAGTGTGCTATGAGGTAAATTTTGCCCGGACAGCGGCACTGCGACCTACTCTTATACCGAATTCCAACTGTCAAGGGATCTTTTACGTGCACGCCAATGTGTACACGGGACCTCGGTTTCGTCTCATCCGAATGACTAGACAGCTGTCCTTGTCAGGCCCTCCGTCCTGCATCACTGACAAGGGGGAATCACGCCGGAAAATCTGGATGAACTTTCTCGGCCAATGCAGGGATCGAACACCAGCGTCTTACCCACTTAGCCACCTTGATCCCCCCAGTTCTTATGAAGACTAAAACACAGATACTATTTCGTTTCGCTTTTTATAGTTCAAAATTTTGTTTTACTTCTCTTCACAACACTATGATCTGGAAGAGTTTGTATATAACAGGCTGATGTGAGGGATTAGCCAATGAAACAGTGTGTTGCAGCGAGCTCCTGTGAGTATCCTACTAGAAAAATCAATGCTGATTGGTTAATCAAATGTCTGACGTAATAGATCAAAAGCCGCTCTTATGACCCCTGGCGCGACATCAGACTACAACCGGTCAGATCTTACAAGTAGAGGCCATCGAAAGTATAAGATGTTTCCAGTCCTTGACAAAGTGAAACCAAGGCTGAAAAATCTAAGGAACTTTACCAACAACGAGAACAGCCCCCAGTTAGTGAACCAGCGCCATAGTCACTGCAGCTCCAAAATTCATAAATGTGGAATCAAATAATACATTTTACATTGGACTTACTTCTCCTACTAACATCTCATAGATAAGAACACCCAGTCCCCACCAATCTACAGAGCGTGTATAAGATGTTTCCGTCAAGACTTCAGGAGCAAGAAATTCAGGAGTACCACAAAACGTACTGGTTCGATCACCGAACCCCATACTCTCTTTACATAAACCAAAATCAGCAATTTTTAAATAGCCTTCAACATCCAGCAGTAAGTTATCCAGTTTTAAATCTCTGAAAAGATAACACAATCGTAATATAATATCCCTAAATTGCATTGCAATAACCATTTTAAGTCATCAGTGGAATTGGTCCAAAACACAAAATAGGTCATTTCGAGACTAACATATTTTTCAATTTTATTTCAATAATTTGCTTGCGCATAGGGATCTTTAGCAGTGGGAGGAAACCTGAGGACCCAGGGAAAACCCACGAGGTGGACAGGCAACCCTACTCCTTGTCACGTACAACCAGGGAATCGAAACCACACCAGTTGACTCAATGACAGACCTTATGATACTGCATGCATATGCTAACCATTCAGCCTTCCAATCCCCCTTTTACCGTGAAATGATGTCATTTTATTGAAACATTTGTAATGCACACTATCCCTAAATTACATTCCAAAAATCATTTCTAAAGTCATTACTGGACTTGGTCCAAAATATTTTTTTTACACTAATTATTACTTTTCTTATTTCACACATTGAAATGATGTCATTCATATATATAGTAGTTTGGCACATTCCCGCATTATGTGTACTACAGACTATCCCAAAATTAAATTCACATGTACATATTTTTAGACTCATTGCTGAAACTTTACAAACAAAATACAAATCATTTAATGCAAGTCTCAGAACAAGATTATTGAAGAATATGTCTACAAAATTAAATTTTATGTACACATTTTTAGAGTCTTCCTAAAATTAATACATGGTTACTATCAAAATTTAATCATAGTTATTGTACAATATGTCAACAATATTTTCTGAAGATCCAAACTCCAGCCCTGTTTGCTGTGGTATGCTAAGCAGGGTATGGCAGGAGAGAGATAAATGGGGTTAAAGGTCTATGTGACACAAACTAGATCATTTTGTTACTAACATATGGTTCAATTTACTTGCAAAAAGGGGTCTTAAGCAGTGGGAGGAAACTGAAGGACCCAGAGAAAACCCTACCCCTTGTCACGTACAACCGGGGAATCGAAACGACACCAGTTGACTCAATGACAAATCTTATGATACAGCGCGCACGCACTAACCATTCGGCCAGCCAACCCCCAAGGGCATGACAGTTGTTGTTATTAGGGGATAAGTGATATCGCACACAATCCTTTATATTAGTAAATTCAGTGCTGAGGTCTTTTCTGCGGGATGGCGGCCCTTTGTCCAAGCCACATACACTCACATTGGCAAACTCCAAGCGAGGCATTCTAGATCACCACAACCCCTGACAGTGGTCAATAGATCCTAATATCTAACACATTAACTGAAGACTGGGAGAGAGAGACTATAGACTCTGTTTACCTGTATACAATATTATGCTCATGTAAGTACTGTAGGCCTAACACCACACAACCAGCATAAAATACTGTTCTTTGTTCAGAAAATACATCGTTATGTATGTGCATCATTAAATCACCACCACACGCATACTCCATCACAAAACATACATGTTCCTGTAATATACAAATATAACATACTCCATCACAAAACATACATGGGGTTTAACGTCCACTCGATACAAGTGCTGGGAGTCGGACAGAAATAAAGAGAGAGAAATGGGGTTTAACGGCCATTTGACACAAACTATGTCATTTTGGGACTAACATATGGTTCAATTTTATTTCAATAATTTGCTTGAGCGTAGGGGTCTTTAGCGGTGGGAGGAAACCGGAGAAAACCTACGAGGTTGAACAGGTGACCCTACTCCTTGTCACGTACAACTGGGGAATCAATTCAAAATGAAATGAGCTTTGATGCCCTACTGTTCTGCTCCGACTGGGATAATGAAGATGGGCATACGCCATACAGTGTGCTATGAGGGAAATTTTGCAGACAGTGGCGCTAAGGCCTACTCTTATATCAATTCCAACTGCAAAGGGATCTTTTACATGCACTCCAATGTATACACAGGACCTTGTTTTTTTGTCCCATCCAAACAACTAGATGACTGTTCTTGTCAGGTCCTTTGAAATATTTAAATAAACCATCTTATATCAATTCTCTTTAATGTTTTGAAGGGTTAAGGAAACCCCGGGGGGTTGGGGGGAAACAATTTGAAATAACTAGAATTCACAAATCACACTTACATATTGCCTCCAGTTCGACTTTAACGATTTACTTCTTTTCAAAATTTACTTTAAAACTTGAGTTTGTTAGGAAACCGATATCCCTCCCCCCTTTAATGGAAACATTGACATAGTAATAAAGATTTGGGAGAGAAAATGTTCAACTTACAGGAGTTTGATAACAGGAAAATAAATTGACTAAGAAGGGATGTCGCATAGAATTGATTACTTCAAATATACGTTTTTCAGACATCAAACTCTCGACTTCATCTCGGGCTATAATATCAGCTTTTTTTAATGCCTTTATAGCGAAACATTCATGAGTTTTTCTATATTCTGCTAATAACACCTGAAACAACCAACATATCATTTTAATTTTCTTTAATCCAATAGTTATGAAAGTTGACACTCTAAAAGGAATATCAAGGTTAGGTCAAGGTCACAAGATGTAAATGGATCAATTTAGTTATATATTCACAGGTTTTCGTGTATTCGATCTTGCTATGAGATTTTGAATCATTCCTTGCTATAAAAGTTCTTATTCATCCCATTTTGTTAAGCATTTTCTGATTCATCCCATTTAGGTATGAGGTTTTGATTCAGCTCAATTGCTACAATATTTTGTACTTAGGTTTTTTTTTTCAACAGACTTGATGTATTTTGTACTTACTTTACCAAAATGGCCTCTTCCCAAAACACTTATACAACGGAAATCTTCCATTTTACAAGGTTGGTTCGAAAAACTGAAATAAAAAACACAAACAAATTTAAATTCATACTTCAATAATCGCATTCAGTGGATTCTGAACAAATCAATGTAGAATCCACATATTTTTTTCTCAGAGATAGTAGCTTATTTTGAATCTATTCAAATATATGTGTGAAAGCGCGTTATTTCCACTAAACACAAATTAAACCACTCAACAAGCTACTTGACTCAGTGACAGACCCTATGAATTAAAGTACATGCGTTAGAGCACCCAACACTTAAATGAAATACAGAACTTACTCAGGTTCTTTAACAATGGGTTTTCTTGGAGTAACAACAGGAGGAGGAGGAGCAGTTAGAACACCCAACCCTCTTAAATGAAATATATAGAACTTACTCAGGTTCCTTAACAATGGGTTTTCTGGGAGTAACAACAGGAGGAGGGGCAGTAGTTTTTTCAAGTCTGGGAGGAGGAGGTTGACAAGGAAGAGGTGGTGTACCATTCCTTTTTCTTTTATTAGCTTCATCATCTAAATCTACTAGAGATGAATCTAGACTTCCTGAATCATCAGCTAGGAAATCAAAATTCGATAAAACCACCTGAAATACAATTCATTGTCGATTATTATAAATATTTCCCCACTTTTATGGTTTTAAAGGGGCATAAGTTGAGATGAGATAAAGAGCTGACAGTTTTCGATTTAATAGTTAAAACATAGATAATGAAAACAAAATAAGCTGAAAATTTCAGTCATATTGCTTTACTCTGAACCAAGATATTTGCCATTGAATTTTTACGTTAAATTATCCATAACAAAATGTATTCAAATCCAGTAAATATCGCAGGCTAATGATGGCATCCAAGTCATAATTAAGTATAACATTTAAGGCCCAAAGAAAGACCTGCAATAGGCAGATTTAGCTCTTGCATAATGCATGTTTAATGCGAATAATAAGAATCATGAATAGATACAGGCTCTCTGGTGATCCTTAAAAAAAGGAATAAACCAAACTATTAAAGACAGCAATGATAATTTCCAAAATTAACTTTAGACAGTTCCAAAATAGATTGTTAAATATCGATTGGCATAGCGAATCTAAACATTCAAAGATAATATTATCTTTGATCAAGTAATGATCAATATAAAAGAAAATATTATCTTTGAATGTTTAGATTCGCTATGCCAATCGATATTTAACAATCTATTTTGGAACTGTCTAAAGATTTTTTATAGATGATTACATTAATTTTGTTGTTATATGTCTAGACTTATCTTCTACACAATATAAAATTACAAAATAATGGCTATCTATTAAACTTATTTAATTCATCATCATGAAAATAAATCTTTTAATATTATACCCTGAAAATATAGTCTAGACATATCTTCCACACAGTATTTACCTGTTCCTCGTTATGTCCAGGTGAGGGATGAATCACATCAGGTGACATACTCCTATCATGAGGTTGTGCTTTATATACATTTTCATCTTCACTTGGAGCAGTAAAATTCATTTCATGAACTGGCGGACCTCTATCAGATGCCATAATGCCTGAAAACACATTAACCATGGAGAATTAAATACGGTAATCCAGAACCAAAAATACAATAATTATATCAAATCTGTCTGCATACTAAAACTTTGGAACTATAATTTTACATTCATAGTTAAAATGGATAATGAATGTGTTTAATGTTTTGTTAAATCAAGACTAAGTGGGTTATTTTAAATACGTCTGATTAAAGTGGCTACACTTTCAACTGTTTTGTTAAATCAAGACTAAGTGGATTATTATATATGAATGATTGAAGTGGCTACACAAGACTTTCAACTGTGTGAAGAGACTTCTGGATCTCCATATCTATCCTGCTGTATTCACGACACCATTCTAAAGAAACAATTATTATTTATTGCATAGTGTGTTTTGATTCGGTGGTCTTTATCAAATGAAGGGACATCAGAACACATAAACAATTCCATGACTGCAAAGAATAAACTTCTTACTAAAGTAGGAGTGGTGGGGGGAGGGAGGGGGAAGAATCCCTGAAACAGTGCAGGTCAGCATGGATGTCAATAGTACCATAGGGGCGAAAAGGAAGCAATCTGTCTAAAATAATTCCAAAATAAAAAACCCTAGCAACGCACTTGACAAGACATGTCCTGTAATAAAACTTTCAGCATTCTACTACAGTCTTGTCAAGTGTGTTGCTGGGGATTTTATTTTGGGGAGATATAAACAACAATATGCATCCAAATCGAAACATCGTCCAGTAATAATCAGGAATCCTAATCGAAACATCGTCAAGTGATAATCAGTAGTTGTATTCTATGGAATTGTGTCTTGTATATTCCATGTTCATATACTAAAGCAATTTATCTATCCTGCTGTTCATCCCATTTCAAAATTTAACTTTTATAAAACAGACAAGTCATATGGTTATCTAAATTCCACTTTTAATGGGGGAAATCTTCCATTGTACTTTTCGTTAAATAAGCAGATTATTTTCCCTCTAGTAGACTGGGTGGAGCTAAACTGTGCAACAACTAGACATTTTCAATGTTATTGCACACTTTTGCTGGTTTACACTGATTTAGTAGAAATCTTATAGAGAAGTGGGTTGGGTTTTCTACAGCCTCTGGTTAACCCTGTTAACTCATGAAAGCCGTGCTATAAATATATAACTTAGTATTAAAGCTGTGTATACCTGGAGAGGTCATATTAGAAGGAGGACTACGCATATTATCATTATCAGCACAATTAGGAGGTAAAGCTCTTTTCATAAGTCGACCCCATGTAGCTACATTAATATTCATCTGTCCAGGACGTAGAAAATTCTTTCCTGAAATAATATCAAATTGAAAATTATCATTATGAGGAGCAATTTCAGTATTTCCACAAAAATGTTCTGATTTATCATCTCAGACTTTACATTATCTCTTTCACAGACATCAATACAAAAAATAGCAATTATCTTTAATCATAGATAATACTGTAATCCTTGATAAATTATGGATAATGAATAAGACTTTCACATCAGTCAATATCACAATGTTAGGAAATTATTCTTCAATTTTTAAAAAAGTCTAAAAAAAAACCTGTATTTACCTTTATGTTTGGGGAATATTCGTCTTTGTCTACGTAATTTTGGCTTTCGAATTAATGATGGATTAATAAATTTTATCTAGAAACGAAAAAAGATTGATAGATATAATAAGAGTATATCCATGAGGTTGGACAGGCGACCCTACTCCTTGTCACGTACAACCAGGGATTCGAAACCACGCCAGTTGACTCGATGACAGACCTTATAATACAGCACACGCGTGCTAACCATTCGGCCCCCCCACCCCCCTGAAGTGATCAAAGACTTTATAAAGATCTTTCATAGACCTGTTTCTGTAAGCCTATTAAAGTGGCATCAGAGCAAGTGCTAGTAGTTCTTGCTATTACAGCTTGAAACCAGAAAACGATAATGAGCTTGTTATCAACAAATGTCCAAATAATAATTTTAATAACAATTGAAGACAGAAAAACCCAGCAACAGGCAAATTTAGCTTTTGCATAATGCCTCTTTAATTGATGACAATCTTGCTGCTATAAAAAATCGTAGTGTCAGAAACACTTAACATAGAATTATTTAAATAAGCAGAGATGAATTTATATAAGCTCTGGCTTGTTTTCAGATCCCATAATTATATAGTGTACTTTTATATTATATAAATATTTATTGAATATATAGTGTCAGAAAAAAAAGACGAAATAATGTGTTTCTAACAGTTTTTGAATAAAATAAGAAGCAAATAGGAAGAGTATATTAGTACCTCCGCAAAGAGAATTCCCTTTGGTTCTAAATGGATTGTTATACCATGTCTTTGATTATCCAAGAAATCTTCTAAACGTAAAAACTTTACAGCGCACATCTGACGCCAATCTCTCCAAAATACACTTATTTCTAGCTCACGGGACTGAAATAAAATATTTTAAAAAATAAAAAATTCATGATAAAAATTCATACATTTTAACAAACGATTTGTACTATATTTAGGCAATGAAATGAATAGGAGTTTAATGTCCTACTGTTCTGCTCCAGCTGGGCTAATGAAGACATTATTAGGGCAAGGGTAGGAAAGACTGATAATATGTATTCCTTTTACTTATCAACTAGTCTGTTTAATCTTTTAATCCTAATTTTAATTCAGTTTAAGCTTAAGATTTAGATAAATAAAAACCAAAATGGCTTTAACAGTAGAGTAGCTTCTGAAATAAATCAAGTTAAGCTTAGATTTAGATGGATTAAAACCAAAATGGTTTAAACTGTACAGTAGAGTTGAGTGAAGATCTCTGTAGCTTCTCAAATGATTAACAAGCTTATGTAACATCAAGACACAGTGTGATAATGGGTCTCCATATCAAATAGCTACAGTTCTGATTATTTTCATTAATCCTATTACAATTTTAAAAGTGAGCAGTCATTTAAATGTCAACATGTCATAAAATAAATGTCAACCAAATTATATTATCACTGCTTTGAAAGAGTATTAAGAAAATTTGTAATACATGATAAGTGTTTAAATGATCTCCTTACTTCAATGCTTGTGGACAATGCATACATATAAAATGTATTTTAAATACCACATAGAGATGGTGGTATGAAATCAAGAGAGAGAGAGAGAGAGAGAGAGAGAGAGAGAGAGAGAGAGGGGTTAAGGTCCGCTCGACACAAACTTGGTCTTTTCGGGACTAACATACATGTATGGTTCAGTTTTATTTCAATAATTCGCTTGCATGTAGGGGTCTTTAGCAGTGGCAGGAAACCGGGGAGTACCCAGAGAAAACTCACAAGATTGGACAGACGACTCTACTCCTTGTCACGTACAACCAGGGAATCAAAACCACACCACAGTTGTTGACTCAATGACAGACCTTATGATACAGCGCCCACATGCTAACAATTCGGCAATCCACCCCCCCAAAATCAATAGACCTATGGACATTCTAATGACTACATATTTCAGACTATAAAACTACTGGGTACATACCCTATCTAAATCTATAGATGATCTGTGATCCCAGCACTGTTGACTATTTGTTTTCCATGCTGTCTGGGCTACTTGTTGATTATCAAGTTTTAATACTGCCATTACTTCATCTACAAAACACATGACAGTTCTATTGCAATCTGATTAAAATACAGATCTATATTTCGTTCGTTTTTTTTAATACTTTCGATGGCCTACACTACATGAGGATCTGACAAGTTGTAGCGATAGGTCGCGTTATAGGTCATACAAGCTGCTTTTGACCCTATAACGTCAGACATTTCATTACCCAATCAGCATTGATATGCAAAACATGCCTAAAGCTTGCTGTAACAGATTGTTTCATTGGCTAATCCCTCGCCCCATCCAGAACATGTCAATGATAACAACTCTTCCAGATCCTAGTGTAATAAAGACAAGTAAAACAAAATTTTGAACGAAATAGGATCTGTGTTTTAATCAGATTGATTCCATTGTTTTTATTGTAAACATGGTGGCATACATGAAATGAGTTTTTAACATTCTACTTTTCTGCACCAATTGGCCTAAAGGAATTTTTGATTACTACTAAAATGATATTGAAATGAAATGAAATCGGGTTTAACATCCTACTGTTCTGCTCCGACTGGGCTAATGGAGATGGAAAAATTGATATCAATATATTTCACAAAAGTTGTCCAAATATTTACATCTCATCATAAATGAAACAAGAGCATCGCTAACGCTGCAATATACGTCCACATTCCAGCAATAAATAGTTGCTGCCTTTACGGTATAAGGAATAAATATGCAAAGTTCCAAGATAATCCATTCAGAATTGCAGCTTGTAGACGATAAATACAAAAAAATGGGTGTTGCTCTGCCCCTGGGGGTTGGATATGGAACAATATAAATAGGTACCACCCTGTTATTGAAATGACAACATCAATAGTTGGCGTCCTTAGGGTATAAGGAATAAGTATTCCAAGTTCCAAGATAATCCATTCAGAATTGTGGCCTTCGGGCGCTAAAGGCAAAACTTGAGCGTGGCTCTGCCCCTGGGGGTCGGGGCATTCACCAAAATCAATAGTTGACGTCCTTAGGCTATAAGGAATACATATGCCAAGTACAAAGTTGATCCATTCAGAACTCCGGTCTGTAAACGATAAACACAAAAATTGGGCGTGCCTCTGCCCCTGGGGGTCGGGACATGCAGTTGTTGTCCTTAGGCTATAAGGAATACATATACCAAGTTCAAAGACAATCCGTTAGGAATCGTGGCCTGTAGGCAACTCACAGAGACACAAAGAACAAATGGGTGTGGCTCTGCCCCTGGGAGTTGGACAATTACCAAAAAACAATAGAGGGCATCCTTAGGGTATAAGGAATAGGTATGCAAAAGTTTCAAAATGATCTGTTAAGGCCTGTGGCTCTGACCCAGGGAGTCGGACATGCACCAAAAACAATAGGGATCATCCTTAAGGTATAAGGAATTCATACGAAACTTTTTCAAGACGATCGATTAAGAATTGTGGCCTGTAGGCGACACACAAAAAGAAAATGGGCGTGGCTCTGTCCCTGGGGGTTGAGCATGCACCCGATATTCCTTAGGGTACAAAGAATAAGTATGCAAAGTTTCAAGATGGTACGTTAAGAAATACGGCCTGTAGACGACAAACAAATACACGAAATGGGCGTGGCTCTCTGCCGCTGGGGGTTGGGCATGCACCCCAAACGATAGGAATGTTCCTTATGGTATAAAGAATAAGTATGCAAAGTTTCAAGATGATACGTTAAGAAATGCGGCCTGTAGACGACAAACAAATACAAGAATGGGTGAAGCTCTGCCCCTGGGGATCAGGCATGCACCAAAAACATTAGGGATCATCCATAGGGTATAAGGAATTCATACGAAATTTTTTCAAGACGATCGATTAAGAATTGTTGCCTGTAGGCGGCACACAGACACGCAAAAGGAAAATGGGTGTGGCTTTGCCGCTGGGGGTTGGGCATGCACCCCAAACGACAGGGATTTCCTTAGGGTACAAAGAATGAGTAAGCAAAGTTTCAAGATGATAGGTTAAGAAATGCGACCTGTAGACGACAAACAAGACAAACAAACAAATACAAGAAATGGGCGTGGCTCTGCCCCTGGGGATCGGACATGCACCGAAAACAATAGTGATCATCCATAGGGTATAAGGAATTCATACGAAATTTTTTCAAGAGGATCGATTAAGAATTGTGGCCTGTAGGCGGCACACAGACACACAAAAAGACCAGTAAGAATTGCGCCCTGTAGGCGACACAAAGACACACGAAAAGAAAATGGGCGTGGCTCTGCCCCTGGGGGTTGGGCATGCACCCCAAACGATAGGGATGTTCCTTAGGGTACAAAGAATGTGTATGCAAAGTTTCAAGATTATTAGTTAAGAAATGTGGCCTGTAGACGACAAACAAACAAATACTAGAAATGGGCGTGGCTCTGCCCTGGGGGGTCGGGCATGCACCAAAAACAATAGGGATCTTCCTTGGGGTATAAGGAATAAGTATACCAAGTTTGAAGAAAATCCATGAAGAATTGCGCCCTGTAGGCGAACCACAGACACACACACACACACACACACACACACACACACACACACACACACACACATACACACACACACACACACAGACAGGGGCGACGGCATAATACGTTCACATTATGAATGTGGACGTATAATAAAATGAAGTTTTATGGCACGTCAGCTCCAGTCGGGGCTATATGGTGCCAAACATATGCTGATTTTTGACAAGACAAATTAAACCATTATCACATAAATATATTTATATACATAAATAAAAACAAGCATCACAGACAATATTATTATTAAAAAGAAATTCTAAAAATTTCATTCCTGGATCCATTCACTTGATATATATTCATTAATTGTTTATTGCTTGCAATGTCTGAAGGTATTGTTTGTGGTGCAGTCTTACTGATTGATCAAACTTACTTGTTAAATCATCTTTAATATTATACACTTTACTACTGCCCCTCCGTAATAAACTTTTACTCTCTCCAGGACTAGAGAGTAGTAACTGAGAGTTCTCTTTTCTTCTTGTGGGTATATCTTCTAATAGATCTTGTACCCCTACTAATCTGTAATACAATATATACACCTTGAATAATACTATAGCAGAGAGAGAGAGAGAGAGAGAGAGAGAGAGAGAGATATGGGTTTAACGTCCACTTTACACAAACTAGGTCATTTTGAGACTAACATGGTTCAATTTTACTTCAATAATTAGCTTGCACATAGGGGTCTTTAGCAGTGGGAGGAAACATGAAGACCTGGACAAAACCCATGAGGTTGGACAGGCGACCCTACTCCTTGTCACGTACAATCAAAACCACGCCAGTTGACTGAATGACAGACTGTATGATACACTGCACACGTGCTAACCATTCGGCCATCCAACCCCCCAAAGTAATTAGCTGCTCCATACAAGAAATTTGAAGCGAGCAAGAAATTAATGAATTAAATGCAACCATCACCATTCACATCGATTTCCTATAACACAATGAATTAAGAGATGGATTCAATTTGCTGTCACCTGAGATAAGAAATGAAATGTGTGTTTTCAGCAAGAACGGGGCATGTACTGTCTAGTGTACTATACTATAAGTAAAATTTTGCCAGGAAAAAGACGTTTCCACCTACATGTACTCTTTATTAAATTCCAAATGTCAAGAGTATTTTTACTTGAATGCCAACAGGAACATGGGGAGATGTTAACTTTCCATTCATTCTGGTATTTTTCTTGTATTGAGAGAAAGAGAAATGGGGTGTAACGTCCACTTGACACAAAGTAGGTCATTTCGCGACTAACATATGGTTTAATTTTATTTTCAATAATGTGCTTGCACGTAGGGTTCTTAAGCAGTGGGAGGAATTGAAACCACGCCAGTTGATGCAATGCCACCCCCCCCCCCAGCCCATTTCTTGTATAACACACTATAGCTGTTCTGATGGGACACAAAACCAAGGTCCCGTGTACACATTGGCGTGTACGTAAAAGATCCCTTGTCAGTTGGAATTCGATATAAGTAGGTCGTAGCCCAGTTGGAGCAGAACAGTAGGATGCAAGACCATATTTCATTTCATTTGCTAGACAGTAACACTAACACTTATTATATTGGATAATAAATCTCAAGGTTGGACAGGCGACTCTACTCCTTGTCACGTACAACCGGGGAATTGAAACCACACCAGTTGACTCAATGACAGACCATTCTCTTCGAGATAAAGTTACAGTACAAAGTGCTGAATGATCATTTACCTCACTTCTAGTTTGCCTGTTAAAGCAGCCGGTTTAGGTAATACGGACGTATTCTGTGTTTGAGCAGTTATTGAATGACGATGTACTGTGGACATTAATGTGGGACTCATCAATTCGTTTAATTCTTCTTTTAATATTTCAATTTTCGGTGATCTGGGTTCCATTTCTAACAGGCGTTTTTCTAATGAAATGCGTAATAAATCCATCTTTTGACTGGATTCACTTAAACTTGAATGGGCCTGAAAAACAGAATGAAAAATTACAATTTCATGTTCGTTAATAAAATATATTTAAAATCATCAGATGACAGAGCAATTGGGTTTAATGTCCACTTGGAACAATTTTATTTCAATAATTCACTTGGTCTTTAGCAGTAGAAAGAAACCAGACTACCAAGTGAAAACACAAGAAGTTGGTCAGGCGATCCTACACCCTGTCATGTACAACGGGGGTTGGATGGCCGAATGGTTAGCGTTTGCTCGTTGTATCATAAGATCTGTCATTGAGTCAACTGGCGTAGTTTCAAATCCCTGGGGTTGTGCTTGACAAGGAGTAGGGTCGCCTGTCCGACCTCGTCGTATTTCTCCGGGTCCTCCAGTTTCCTCCCACTGCTAAAGACCACTATGCACAAGCGAATTATTTAAATAAAATTGAAAAATATGTTAGTCCCGAAATATGTGTCATGTAAAAGCTTAGGATTGAACCATGTCACTTGACTCAATAACAGACCTTATGATCAAAAGCACATACGTTAAGACCATTTGACGTTATTTAATTACACAAGACTAGGGAATATATTTGAGAAGGCTCCTTTATATAATAAAAAACAATTTTCAAGTTAACATGCCAGATAACATCCTAAGGTTTCTTTCAAATTCATTTAACGATTTAGACTTCTCGATAACCTTAAGAAAATAACTCACCTCTTTTATTGCCTTTTTATCATCTGATTTATTAGTCTGTAATAATCGTATAACATTATTAGCGCCAACAGCTACAGCAGATTCTATTTTAAGATGGTGTCGTAATTCTTCAATACGTGATTCTAAAGGTGATAACGATTCACTGGCTTTACCTGAAATAGAATTTAAATTTTTTGGGTGGAATCAAACCTCTTTAATCAGATTATTTTGAACGCAAAAAAAAGGTAAATGATAGTTATTCATATCTTTTGAAACCCCAAATGCCATTTTGAAAGTTTAACCGTTATGTCATTGAACTAAAAAAGAGAGAGAGAAATGATTTAACGTCCACTCGACACAAACTAGGTCATTTCGGGACTAACATACGGTTTAATTTTATTTCAATTATTCGCTTGCGCGTAAGGTTCTTTAGCAGTGGGAGGAAACCGGAGGACCCTGAGAAAACCCACATTGAATTTAAAAATAAATAAAATAAAAAGGTGTTTAACGTCCTACTTTTTTGCATCAACTGTGCTAATGAAGAAGGTGAACTAAAAAAAAAAAATTAAAACTTATTTGTTCTTTAAAATGCTTTTTTTAAAATTTTTCCCGGATTTCCTAATTTGTAGAGCTGGCTGAAAATATTGATATTGCTGAAACTGATTCCTGGGATCAAACCTGTGAAAGCTTGCCCCGAGTTCACAAAGCAATTCTCAGACTTGAGTTAAGAATTTACTCAAACTTGTCCACCTTATTTTAACTAAAATATAGACCTTTATAAAACATCACTGAGAAACAATGTGCAACGTTTTGTGTTTCTGGATCAAAGATATGTTTTATAAACATCGATTGAAAGCTGAGTAAATTCTTAATTCAAGTTTGGGAATGCTTTGTGAACTCAGGGGCCAGGTGTCATTGGTAAAAGTTTGCAAGCAAAGATCTTCAGTTGAACACCAAAATTCTGAGATCAATTCCTCCCAGTCATTCACCATGACAAAACCTATTGGTCCTAAACTGGTAACTGAGAGAATGTTGAACTTACCGTCAACACCATCTGATAAAGATGTCTCCTGTATCTGTTGTGTAACTTTTAATATTTGCATGCGTAAAATTTCTATTTTCGTTTTGGCATCACTTAACATTTGCTGTGCTTCTGCTAATAATTTTTTATCTCTAGAAGAACCTGATTTATACATAGCTATCATATTCTCCGCTCCTTGTTTTACCTGAAAATATATTTAATAGATATCAAAACTGATTAAAACACAGATCCTATTTCGTTTCGCTTTTTATAGTTCAAAATTTTGTTTTACTTATCTTCACAACACTAGGATCTGAAAATTTGTTGTATAACAGACGTTAGGCTTGATGTGAGAAATTAGCCAATGAAACAGTCTGTTAAGGCGAGTTCTGTGGGTAAACCACTAAAAACAGCAATGCCGATTGATTAATCAATGTCTGATGTCATAGGGTCAATAGTCACTCGTATTACCCCTGACACGACCTCCCACTGCAACTGGTCAGACCTTTATGTAGTAGAGGCCATCGAAAGTATAAAAAAAAAACGAAACCAAATATAGATCTGTATTTTAATCAGATTGTTTGATATTAAAACACTTGTATGAATTTCCTAGAGTAACACAAGATATGATCTCATTATTATCAACCCAATAACAGAGATCAAAATGATTTATAGTTTAAACAGCCCTTTCTGTCCATGACATCATTGATTTTCCAAAACGGTTTTCCCTTGTCAGTGGTGCAGGACGGAGAGTCTGACAAGGACAAATGTCTAGTCATTCAGATGGAATAAAAAACCGAGGCCCCGTGTATACATTGGCATGCACGCAAAAGATCCCTTGGCAGTTGGAATTTGATATAAGAGTAGGCCGTAGTGCCGCTGCCCGGTCAAAATTTCCTTCATAGCACACTGTATTGCGTTTGCCCGTCTTCATTAGCCCAGTTCGAGCAGAACGTTAAACCCTATTTCATTTCATTTCCATGACATTATATGTGTAGCAGTTGGACCATGGGGCCCCTATAAGAAGCTGAAAGTGTAAACCGTTTCCATTGGCCAGACAATATAAGCTACATGTAAGTGACCACATATGTAAAATAAAAGCCACAGAATTAGATCAAGGACTCAGGATTCAGCTGCACATTGTATTGAAGTAAATTTTTATCTCTAACCTTTAATTCGATTGTAATCTGTTTCTGTAAACTGACAACACGAGGATTAATTGTATTACTATCAGTCTGTTGCCCATCTTTCTCAGGTGATTTGATCAAATCTGAAATAGAAAATATTTCTCTTTATCATACTTCCATGATTATGAATTTTTGGTTTTCTGCATTACATGTACCGGTACACTACTAATACATGTATCAGTGTAATCCCCACTTAAAAGATGTAGACACTACACCCACCCCTCAAAATAGCTGGTCAGGAACACCACCAATACAAACAGAGAGAGAGAGAGAGAGAGAGAGAAAGAGAGAGAGATTGATTAACATCCACTCGACACAAACTAGGTCATTTTTGGGACTAACACATGGTTCAATTTTATTTCAATAATTTGCTTGTGCATAGGGGTATTTAGCAGTGGGAGGAAACCGGAGGACCCAGAGAACACTGAACAAGGCTTGACAGGCAACCCTTCCCCTTGTCATGTACCAGCAGTGAATCGAAACCATGACAGTTGACTCAATGACAGACCTTAAGATACAGTAAACACGCCCTAACTATTCGGCCATCCAACGCCCCCACCCCTCCTCCCACCAGTATTGTTTAAACTAAGTAACACTGTACTATCAGTTAGAAAGGCTTGTCAAAGGATAAAAATACACAATGCAAGATTTAGAGAAAACTGTCCGTTCTTGCTATAATACACGTAATGTAGTTAAAAAATAGACAACGAAAATTAATATATTGGTCTACATAAATATCTTATATATATAATAATTTATATAAAATTTAAAGCTAGAAAATACCCGGCAATAGCTCTCACATAATGCCTCTTTCTTTAAATTGGAAGAAATAAAGGGAAGTAACTCACCAGGTCCAGTGTCTTGCGGTGCTGTACAATTAGCAACAAGTAAAATAGCATTAATGTCCTGTAGTTCTCTATGTAAGTCCTGTAATTTAGTATTGGCTTTTTTCACCATACTTTGCACATTTGATAAACTTTTTTTGTCGGAAGTAGCTTCACGTAGCTTTTCGGCTCCCTCCTTTATTTTCATTTCTCGACGAATTTCTTTTTTAATATACTCCCTTTTCTCCTCCAGCTGAGTTTGTATTTCAGAAGTTGAAAGGTCAGTGTATATTTGTCCAAGATCGGCGTAAGAACTTATGGCACCTCCCTGAAATATACAAATAAATTTCACATTTAATAAACATGTAATAATAAAATGTCAAAGAATTAAAATCAGCCATGAGAAGAATAGATCAATTGTTTTACCAAAATTAAACTCCACATTATTTGCTTTGTTTGGGTTACACCCCCTTAAAACACATGTAAATCAATGCTATAATAAAACCCAATGATTACTGCTAAATCTATTTGTTAAGGCCAGCTCAATTTTTGTCAAGGTTGCTGAGATGTAAATAAGGTTAGGACACATGATTGTTTGTGAGATTGTAGGTTAGGGTTAGGGTAAGCATTAGGTCTAGGTCCAGGGATAGGGTAAGGGTTGAGATTAGCGTTAGTCCTGTTTACATCCGGTGACCTATGACGAAAAATTGAGCTGACCTTATCATTTAGCACTTACGCAATGATTACCTTGCAAGTGACTGATGAAATCGAACAAAAGTGACACTATTTTACTAACTACACGTATCTGAATGAGGATAAGATCTGTTCTACTCAATGACCTTATTGTTGTTAGTATACAAGTTTTACAGGTATGTACTCAAGTACAAGTACCTGACTATAAATAGTGTAAACACTATATACAATTGATTGAATATCTTAACAGTCAGTCATATCTACATGTATATGATCAAATATAAGTAGAAGTCAGTCATATCTATATATAAAATCATATAACAATATACTAATGATTAATATATGTACCTACAGTCTAATAAAGCATCAGATGTTGTGGGTTATTTTTAAATTAAAGTAGTTTTAGGAAGATTCCAACATTTAGAAGACATTCAAGAACACTGTACTACACACACAAAATATGAGACTTAAATGGTCAATGATCAAATACACAAGACCGATGGGAGAGACAAAGCAATCAAGAAAACTATGAAAATCAAATTAAGAGGAACATACATGAAATGAAATGGGGTTTAACGTCCTACTGTTCTGCTCCTAAACTGGGCTAATAAGACGGGCATATGCCATACACTGTGCTATGAGGGAAATTTTGCCCGGGCAGCGGCGCTACCGCCTACTCTTATATCGAATTCCAACTGCCAAGGGATCTTTTACGTGCACGCCAATGTGTACACCGGAAATATAATTCAGTTTCACAGAGTAACTTATACATGTACAAATAGATAAAATACAATTTTCCATGTAATTCAGAGGCACTCATGCGCTTATACAATTGAATAGTGTATGACACAACTAAGAAAAACATTTCACCATAATTTCAGACATCATATGAAACAGCCGGCCTACAATTTAAATGTGTTCAACTTTTACATTTATAAACTGTTTCATTTTTTTTTATATACTGTATTTAAATTCTCCGACAGGATGTAATGACAAGGCTGCATGTTATATATTATGTAGAACATTTTATATGTAGGCGAAACTGATGTCTTGGGTTATTCTGGGAATATTCAGGAAATAAAATATCTCAAAGAGAAAGCCCTCAGCCTTGTGCTTTCTTTTTTTTGTGTGTTTCTTCATTTGAGGTTGAAAAGAATGATTTTAAACCCCATTTAATTTCTTTTCTCCTGGACTGTCTCAAACAAATAGCATTAAATTCAGCTACTGCACAATATAAAGTTCACAATGACCTCCTCGATTAAGCATGCCATCATAAAATTTACAATAATCTGTGTCATGATTGCAAGTTATTCCACATACAGATTTGACTCTTTAAGATCAAAGGAAACTGCTTTCATGGGTTTATTTCAGGCAACATCTAAAACTCTAGGAAATACACACTAAATATTCAAAATAACATTTAAAGATACACACTACATGTACAAAACTATACAAAGTCAGACAAGACGACGTTTACAAGACATCTTGATGTGAATACTGTAATACATGTATTGATTTGAGAGAGAGAGAGAGAGAGAGAGAGAGAGAAATGGGGTTTAACGTCCGCTCGACACAAACTAGGTCATTTCGGGACTAACATATGGTTTAATTCTATTTCAATAATTCGCTTGCGCCCGGACGACCCGGAGAAAACCCACGAGGTTGGACAGGGGACCCTACTCCTTGTCACGTACAACCGGGAATTCGAAACCACGCCAGTTGACTTAATGACAGACTTTATGATACAGCGCGCGCACGCTAACCATTCAGCCACCCAACCCCCCTGATTTGAAACAAGTATTATTTCTATAGATAAATTTTCAGCAGATTCTCTTTTAACTATTGTAGCGAGAACTGTCAGCTCTTTATCTATATCAAATCTACCATAATGCCCCTTTAATAAAGAAAATAAACGGGGGAAGCCAAGGTATTATCATTAGTTGAACATTGTGTATATCTATAAATAATTTCCTATATACTGACGCCAGATTAGCATACAACTTAGGTGTTTTATTAATTGACATGTGCTGGTATGACTTATGTCAAAATGCCATGAACTATGTTATAGGTCACATGTACACCTACACATGTAACTAAAACCATCAATCTTAAGATGACAGTTAAACTAATAGTCTTGTCCACAAACATATGTAACATTTATAATATCCCTTTCCTACATTATAAACCTGTAACTCAATCTATATGTCTGTTGTGTTAGGTCATGTCTGTGTATATTGTGTCCTGTCTGTAGACTTGTTTTGTGTAATTGTTTATGTGTGATACAGTCCCCCCTGAACTTACTATTAAAGATACATTATGGGAGGATAGATGGGGGGGTTCAGATGGCCTAGTGGTCTAGAGTGTCATGCTTCGACCTCTGGCTTGCGTTTGTGGTTTCGATCCCTGGTGTGAACGTATGTGGCTTCGAGATAGGGGCGCAATCTCAACCTTGTGAGTTTACTGCAGTTTCCTCCAACAGGAAAGACCCCCGTGCGTGCGCTAAGATAATGAAAAAAAAAAAAAAAGACAACTTGTCTGCGATATCACCTTCGGTGGAAGCGGACGTTAAACACTAAGAACAACAACAAGGATATTAGATAAAGAGCTGACAGTTCTCACTATAGTAATTACAAACAAGATAATGTAAAGGGAAATTGCTGAAAATGTCACTCAAATCGATCCCCTCTGAACCGAAATATTAGTGATTGATTTTTAGGCCTAGCCTTGACCATCATTACTAAAGTTGGTACAATAAAAACATAGTCTAGATTATCCATATTTTTATTTAATCATCAATGAGCATTGAGCAGTAGATCGGATTCTAATCCAGTAAATAACGCAGGCAAGCGATGCCATCAAGAGTTGATTATGGTCTGGATTTTAATTAATGTCTAATTACCATACTAGTTTATATAACATTTCTGGTCTAAAGAAAGACCTGCAATAGACAGATTTAGCTCTTGCATAATGTATGTTTAAGTTCTATTTTATCATACATGCGTATCGTTAATCATATATAATCTTTAGAGAAAGCAAATTTTAACTACCTATCATCAAGTTGCTATTTTAATGTATTCCTAGAGAATTAACATATATTTGTCAGACTCAGTTTTAAGTGTGTAGATATACAAGGTGTTTTTCTTCAAGGCGTTTGTTTAATTATTTAGTCTAGTATGGGATGAGAGCATTGAGTGACTATAAACTGTACCCATTAACCTTTATACATGTAGGTCTGTAACAAATCATTCATTACAACCATATACATGATTATGATATACATGTAAATGATTATAATAAATTAATGTCAATTTATTTGTTTTTTTATAATACAGAACGACATGTATTTATTATCATTTTTACGATTTATTATTTTTTCTTCTGTGTTTTTATTGGTATATTTAAATCGTTTATGGCACAAAGTTCAAAAAGTCAGGGAAGCACAAATCATTTTTCATTTTTTCCAGGGATGATTATTAAACATGCATTATGTAAGCGCTAAATCTGCCTATCTGTTACAGGTCTTTCTTTGGACCTGAAATTTTATCTACATTATTAAAGATACATTATAGGAGATAAGATAAAGAGCTGGCAGTTCTCACTATACATGTAATAGTTAAAAACTAGATAATGTAAAGTAAATTTACTGAAAATTTCAGTCAATATTGATCTACTCTGAACCGAGAATTTAGCGATTGAATTCTGGGCCTAGCCTCGATATCATTACTCATGTCGGTTTGATAAAAAAACATAGTCTTGATTATCCATTTTCTGATTTAATAATGGATGAGCGTTGAGGAGCAAATCGGATCCTAATCCAGTAAATATCTATATTATAATTTACTATATGTACATGTCAACAAATAGGTTGAATATCCTTTTCTATCTTATAACATGTTATTTTCACACCAAGCAATTATAATTATTTTTTTTTATATCTCTAGACATATTATTTTTTAAGACCTGTATTGTGCTACACTATAGTAAATAGATACATGTCTACATGAACATTTGATGAGAAATTCTATTACATATACATGTACAAATGTATGTAAGGATTGCACAACATGCTTGCTTTTCTTATTTTCTATTAACATTTTTGTATTCATTATATTATCTATGATGTATAAACATGATTACAAATAATTATACGGAATTCAACAGACAAACTGGTGAAATGCACAACAAAACAAAATCAAGAAGAGAACAAATGAAATGAGGTTTAATGTCCTACTATTCTGCACCAAAACAGCTAATGAATGCAGTGTGCTATGTATGAGTGAAATTTTGACTAGACTGTCTGCAGTGTTTTCGCCGGCTCTTCTTCGAATTCCAAGAAGTGCAGGTTCTTTTACGTGCACACAAACATGTACGCAGGAACTAGATGCTCTTCCTTGCCAGAAAACCAGACAAAAAATCTTGAAACTATTTAGGAAAACACCAGGAAAAAACCTGGGATCTCCTGGTTAGTGAGCGAGAGTCTTAGTTACTGAGTCAACGCGGCCACATGACAGAACCAACAGATCTTCATTAAAATGTTTTAAAATATTTGGTGAATAAAATGAATGCGATCAAGCAGATCAGAAAACTGTTAGTCAACACGGCCACATGACAGAACCAACAGATCTTCATTAAAAT